ACCTGTCGCGGCACGCTGGGAAAAAACAGACGGCGCGCGACGTAAATAAGAACGGACGTAGTTACAAAAATAAATAATCGTCTCGGGGGTGAGTGTGGGTTTCGTTAATGTACAGGGTGTTTTCGAATTACAGGTTTCGAGAACAATATGAGAACATTCGTTAAAAACAAAGTGAAAGTCTTGAAAAATACAGGCTGGTGAAGAAATAATTTTTTGAATGTTGAATTTTTCTTTTCGCAAGATAATATTGGGTTATGTCATCGATAACTTCAGTTTTAATTTTCGGAATTTTTTTCGATTCAAGACACTACAATCTATTCCATATTCTCGAATATTACGAAACTTAGTAATTTACTCGGTTTAAATTGTTTTTTATCTAATTGTAATTTGGTAAATTTTCAATGTTTATGCCGGAAGTTATTCGTGATTTAACCCAATATTTGCATATACAGTGACTCACATAATTTGGAAGTAACATTTAAGTGTGTAAATTTTTATATATCTCCCATTTATGTTTCATTAGTTTTACTTTTATCGTGCTTTTGCCATGAGTTTTTCTTAATTTTTGGAAGAAAATTCGTAATTTGATGCGTAACATGGTCAAACAAATCTGACAGCGTTCCGTGACCAACTTAACGAGTCACTGTATGATTATAGAAATTCTACCTACTTTTGAAATACGAGCAACAATCCCATAAAAAATGTATACAAATTTCTGTAAAAAATGTCGACAATCCTACTACTAATTCAAAGTGTAAAGCAATGAATTTTTTAAATTCTATACTCATTCGATTATTCAGGGTTGAATCCTAAGTGACTTTCATTTATTTTCCAAATCGAATCCAATCGAAGACAATTGACAGTTGATTTTTATTTAGTCTATATTCTTCACTGTTATTAAATTCAACAATGACCATTAAACCTAAGAATTATTATCATTACCCTCTACATTAAATCTTCGCAATTGGCGACAAAAGTTACTTCTGACTCAACCCTATGCTAATATCAAAATTAAACATTTTCCAAAACGATACCTTCACAAGCCCAACTCTTTATATTTCCACATCAAGTTTCACGTACAGATTTTTACCGTGTAATTAGAAGACGAAAAAAAGAACACCCTGTACATCGAGGGACAATTACCGCTAACTAATATCGTCCGCCGTACACCTCGTCAAAAGAAAACCGTCCACGTAGATTTAAAAACCGCCTAAGAGACACACACAGAACACGTTTTTTTTCCCCTTAAACTAGAACTAAAGTGTTGCCTAAAGAATCGTTTCGTGTGGCATTTGCAGACAAGTCGATCGCCCGACGTTTCAGCACTCCTAGACTACAAATATTGTACAACACGCGGAACAGAAGCGGAGGAGAACCGTGGAGAAAATTCATAACGACGATGCGCGCCCGAGGGTCGCGCACGCGCGCTGCTATTTATAATATATATTTATATTATGTATACGTAAAAATATTGAAGAGATCGTTGATCGATAAAAAAAATATATATATGTATATGTGTACTATGATATACGTATGTACAGACGAGACCCTCCGTTCGCGGACCGAATCGTGGGAATAAGTTCCGAAGGACTGCCTGGAGTGTAGGAGATTTATGATCGATCTAAGAGCACGTAGCAATTTATACAGGGTGTCATCATTCAACTCTGCTCGGTAAAAAAAGGGTTCGATGAATAGTCTAGTTCGTTACTCTAGACTACTATGAAAATACAGAAGAAAGGTATTGACTATATTTTTTATATGATTCTCGAGACAAATGCACACTCTATACAGTAATATCTCGATAAGTGCGACGTACTCAAATTCAATTCGGAGCGTTCATGGCAAGGCGGAAAGGTTTTGAGCCCCTGTTTAGCTTCTATTTACTCTGTTTGAGTGATTCCCCCTCCCCAGTGGTGAGAATAACGCCGTTGCTAGTGTCGCATTAATCGAAAAATCACTGTATATACGTTTATGGAGGGCTTTCATTATGACGAATCGAATGGTATCGATGTCCAGCCCTTCCATTGTTGTTAGCGCCTCTAAGTTTTAAAAAATTTCGTTCATAGTGTGCTATTGGCTATTAGTGCCCAGTTATAGATATCTTGTTACTGGCAACAATTACGTCAAAACGTTGTACTGTTCGCATTATTTGCAACAGAATTCTACCGTGACTTCGTTCGACTATGATGTATAGTTAAAAACATCTTTCGACTATGACTGGTGAAACGTTTCGCTGTCCACGGCGTCAATCGTGGTTGAATGTTTATACTTTGTGTCACGCGCGATTTGTATTAAAACCTGACGCAGCACAATGGGTAAACCGCTACGTGGTGTACCTTGAAAATGGACTTGAAGGTTATATCTTCAAAGGGGTCAATGACAGTAGCGCAGGTATCTAGGTATCAGGACATATAAACTCAAGGACACTTTGGTCTGTTATGAACAATGAGGTCGCTAGAGGTGTTTACCTTGCAATAAATAATCAAAAACAATTACAGTGCCTTGTGTTTTCCCGGTTATCACTTTACCATTTAAACATGCATCAAGCTCAACAGAGTATCCTCGTTGGAAGATTTGGATGATTCCTCTGTCGCCATTTTGAGGTTATGAACCTTAAATCCATTTTTAAAGGCGATTTTATCTGGCTAGCTAATTAAACATGGTACTGTTTGATCCATCTTAATGAGGTTTCCGTACATGTACATGAGAATAAGAATGCCTAAATACTTCTGTTAAATAGGAAGAGAGAAGAAAGTATCAAAGAAAATAGTTACCTCTGTTCAGGCAGGTAAATATGAGAGTGTATAAACAGATTAAATTCATTTCGGTATAAAGGACAGCAATGGGAACTCAAAACATGTCGCTATTTCAGAAAACACTAATGACCTTCATGAAAATGGCATTAAATATGAATCTATTTATATCTTCACACATAACTTCTTAACCAGCACGATTTCTGTTCTCAGACAATTTCTTTCACTTTCATATACAGTAAATTATCGATGAGTGTTCGAAGGCTTCTCTCCACTAAATGTTCAGGCGTCATTCCTACCACTGGTTGGGGGCGGTTCTCCGTGGAACCAATCAAGCACCCAGTGGTAGGGATGACGTCTCACCACTCAGTGCCAAGGAGCCTTCGAACACTCTTCGATGATTTACTGTATAACCGAAATATTCAAATCTATTCCGTTTCTTTTGACATATTCTGTATAAAAATCACTGCACACTCTTAGATCGAATCTGCCCTCCAAGATTCAAGACTGTCCTCCGTACGCGCGAGACTTGCTTCCCCACCTGTCGGTCCGCGGTTGAATTCTGTTCGACTATAATCGGTTTATTTACAAAACGGCGTAATTCCTATGGTTCTCTGTGACTTTTTCTATGTACAAAACCTCGTGGTTGCTCGCGCGTTCCTAAAATGCACTCGTCGATTACACTTAGCTACACTATTACGGAATCATCGATGCACGTTGCACATACACGGAACCCATAGAACCGATCGCGCACAACGAGGAATCGGCGTCGCCGATCCCCTCGCGCACCGAACGATCCATTCGAAATTTCTCGATGTCCTACCGAGCCGTCCGTTCGTTTCGAACGTAAAACCACGGTTCAACTGATGAAACTGCGCGATGAAATGCAACTAGACCCGAACCTAACCTGAATGGCGAAACCATACACGGTCGTGACGTCACAATAAGGTACAATATACCTGGCATGCGAACAGCCGGCGAAACGTGAGATTTATTTGAGGTCTATGGGTCCACCCGGCTCGTCGATGGTTGTCACCATGGCTGGTATTTATTACGATTTGGTAAAAAAAATTTCTTCACCGTGAACAATTCGAATTCATTCTCAGTCGGTATCCTAAGATGTTCGACGGTGTAGTAATACTCTTTCGAGAGGATTGTTCCTATTGTCGCCGGCACTCGACTTTCCATGGTGAGAGCGCGGGTTAGTTACAAAACACGTGGTGTAAACCGAGAATTAGATAAATAACTAATGAATAATTTAAAAAAAAAAACACAAAGATCAAAGAATTCAATTAATTCCATTCGTTCGTTTACGGGAATTCGTCAATCCATTAATAACAAAATTGTTTTCCGTATTTACGTTCCATTTTGATGCTGGCTGTCCAACACACATCAATCGATACAATTCTAACGCTAAGAAACTATAAATATTAAATTAATAAAATAAAAAAAAAAAAAAAAAAAAACATTACAATTCGCATGTTCAAATTCATTTTTGTTCAGGAGAAATCACGATTTCCGGGTCAGAATCACGAATTCCGGCACACTCTGTCTAGATTAAGCATCATTGATACAAGATGCTGAGGGCGGGGTCCTTAACGGACCTATACACGTAATCGTAACGCGCGTTATTCTGGAGAACTCGAGGAATGTTTTGGAATTTTAACGGGGGGTGTAACTCGGCGAGTGATAGTGTGTAGCCCGGTGGATAAAGGAAACTCGCCGAGTATCGTTAAGACTTCCGTTTTCGCTTCGCAACGATAACATACCCTAAATTCGAAGAACCTAATATTCCCATTCGACGAGAACCGCTTCTCGCGAAGCTGCAGATCGTCCCTAAAAGCCATTTCGAAATCCAACGTGCTTCACTCGTCAGATCCACGAAATGATTGGTCGTGGAGTGTTCGAAATATCAAAGAGTTTCGGGGAAAAACGATCATCGTCGATTTCACCTGGTACAATATAAATGTGTCGACGTACGCACACAGAGCTCTACAGACGTCCACCACGCGGCAAAATAAAAGAACCACATCCAGTCCCATGCCAGAATCTCATGCAAAAAGAGGACGATCATCCTCCCCCTCGATTCCAACGATAATGCTCGCGGGTTCCATCCGTGCCCCTTATTGCTCTCGCATCGACGTTCACCCGTGACATAAAGACATTTGCCCCCCTTCTCGACAGGCTTCGGACCCGGCTGCTCGACGACGGCGAGAACGATCGTTCCGAGCAGGGGATGTCGAACGAAACAGGAGGTAGAGAATAACGCGCCTGTGGCGCGTGGATCCTCAGCCTGGAGTGGGTGGGGTCTTGTGTCAGTGAATATTAAAGTTGTACTGCTTACGGCTGGACGAGATACGAAGCCACCGGCTGACAGCCAGCGGCTCTGGATGACAGTTCGACCACGAGATATCCCCGAAATGGGGATACGGTGAGGACGCTGTCGTCGCTTCGACCTGTATCGCTGTGGACAGATCCTGCTGGTAGTCGTGTTTCGTTCTCTTCGGTTGCCGTTGGCTGACAGGACTCGGATGGGTCGAGTGATTCAGTCTCTTCCCGTTGATCTGGGGCGGGTGTTGTTGTTGTTCCAGCTGCTCCAGTTGCTCGAGCTGTTCCATCGGTTCGAAGATCAGACTGGGCATCGAGGCTTGAACCTGGTAACTCCTAGATATGGGCGAATGAGCGATATTGTTCGAACGTGGTAGCTGCATCACCAATTGGGACTTGTCCTTGTAGACGGGAGAGTAAATGGTCATGGCCGTTTCCGTGTCGATGTCCACAGGCGTTTCCGCTTCCATCACGGTGGTGACCAACGATGGTTGTGTACAGGTCGCTGGCAGTGTCGCTGGCACAACCGGTATCACCGGGGACGCTGTGCTCGGTATCAAGGTGGCCACCGTGGACTCGTCGTTGTTGGTAGCTGGCAACGGCGACAACGATGGCAGCACCACCGATATCGGGGCCATCATCGAGCTCGACTGCGACGAGCCGGTCGAGTTCACGATCGACGACTCCAGGCTTCTCAGCTCCTCGTTCGCGAAGTCCTCTTCGAGCTTTGTCTAAAAAAGAGAATCGTTGGCGATACTCGCAATAAGAATCGTAGCGCCCTTACGAGGTGTGTGTGTTGGCGTTTAAGTGCCCAAAAGAAACCATGCCTTACAGGTTTAGCGGAGCCATGCGGGGCCAGACACCGATAAAGCAAATCAACAGCCTGCAATAACAAAAACAGAAAACAGGTATCAACCGACACCCTTCCTTGCTGGCGCTCTCTACTTGTTTCGCAGCTGACTCGTCTGGGTCCGATCGATCCATGTTTGTCAGCGACGCTTTTATTCTTTTTTTATAGCTTTTGTTTTCCGATAACGTTATTATGTATTTTTTTTTTTTTTCGTTTCGTTCGTTTCGTTCGTTCTTGATCTAGATCTTTATGCTTTATTTAGCCACGCTACGTACCGTCCGGTGCGTCTTAAGAGATCTACGAAAACGAAGGACAATCTGAACTGGGGTATCGACTGATACCTGAAACGACGACGCTGATTTCGACCGCACAATGTCATGGCTCGACTAAATTTTGACCGGCGGCTGGGGCTCTCGGTTTACCCCGTGCCACCTGTTGTCCTCGAAATCTAGTTTCTAATTGTATAGGCTGATGTTTAAGCGGTTCAATCGATATCTCGATGCTTTCGTAGAAGCAACGTGTACATGCACGTGATTCGTATATTTCTTAAAGACGCTTCAGAATTATATTCCGAACGACACACGTTTGATGTTTAATTTACCTGATTAAAAAATAAAAAAAGAATGAACATCTTTGTTCTTGAATTTTCGCAACTGTCAGGCTTCCCGTGATTCTCCGCGGTAATCTAACTCTAACAAGCTTGTTTTCCACACTTTTAAGCTTTCCAAAGCCATCGAATATTCCTGTTCCGAGAGTTCAGAACACCGAGGCGATTGTTTAATCAAACATTTTTCCTGGACATACGACGAAAATGAAAACTCGATGAATATTGACGTTTAAAAATGGGAACGCACGCGTTCGTTTGCAATATTGCTTTCAACTAATTAATTAAAATCAATTATATTCATTTCAATAAAACGAAAAGTATTGGTAAAATACTGATGAAACAGCGGGATCGAATTGATTAAATTTCACGTACGTCTGACGGTGTATTTCGCCTTTGCGCACGAAAAAGTTATAATTTTACGCTGGAAAATGCACACACTACACGTATGCACTAAAAATTACTAGACCATGCAAATCACTTCACAAATATGCGACTGCAGAAAAATAAATATAAAAAAAGGAATACTACAAAACATAGTCTAATTATTTCGAGACTTAAAATTCGTATAAAGGGAAAGACAGTTAAGTTCCCATAATGCCAGTCACGCGTCATTGCAAAAGAAAGACGTTCGTGACGGGATCACAAGACTCTTCGAAATCGAATAGGAAAAAGAAACAATTCATTTTCTATGAGAACACGCAAAACAATGTGACAAATTCCTCACAAAAAAAAATCGTACATCATCTTAACACTACAAATCGTCAAGTGGTTAACCCTTTCACTGCGACCACCGTCGTCAATTATTTAATACCACCGGATCCTTTACATACGAATACGGTACAATAAAAACGAAAACACTTCAAACTTCACAGACTAAGCTTGTCAAAAAATGAGTACCAAATCATTTAAAAAACACACAAGGTCCAAATATCAACTTTATCGGAATTAGAAACTATTCGTGATTCCCATAAATAAAGCGATTAACACATTCATCGCTACGTGGGTACTCAGTGACTGAAAAAAAACTTTCCGTTCACGCCATGTCGATCACCCATGACCCACACGGAGGTAATATGAATTCAAACGTAAGACAATACAGTAAATCATCGATGACTGTTCGAAGGCTCCACTAGGAGTTTGATTGATTCACGGCAGACCTCCTAGTGGCGGGGATGACGTTTGAACACTTACAAGGGAAGGATCCCAACTGTACCACTTCGATTTTATTGTACTATGAATACAGGTGATTGTTTATTACATTGTAGAAAATTAATTAAATTTTTGCATTACTCAATTTTCACGCAACGGGTCACTTCACCGTCGCGGATTTCACAAACAGACACCTATATTCATAGTATATATATAACTAAATATGTAAGTGTAATTAATTATACCTTCAAAACTATGCAATAACTACGACTAATATTCCACATATATCATTAAAAATACGTATTGTATCATTCTACAAAAGATCGATAAAATCAAAATGGTACAGTTGGAGTCCTTGCTCCGTCAATGTCGAGAAGCTTTCGAGCATTAATCGATGATTTACTATACTATCAAAGTGAACGGAACGTTATTCAAGATAGGCTCCGCGATGAACCTATATACAACAAGGATCATTGTTCCTCTGCAGCGAAAGGGTTAACAAACCGACAACCAAAAGACGATAAGTAGATACAGTGGATTCTGCTTACTTGGACCTTCATTTAATCAAGGTGATCGTTTATTTAGGACAAACCTCCAACAACAGAACCCAATCGAATGTACTGTATTTGCACTATGTCCAACTTAAGAATAACTTCGTTAATTGGTAGAAGACCGACAGAGACAGCGAACTACGAGCAATCGCATGCGTCCGAATCGGTCGGCAGTAGTGGGGGCTGCGCAGATCGGTCGAAAACTGGTCCGAGCGTGAGGTTATTCTTAAGTTAGCTAGAGTTTCTCTGATACATCGCGTAATTGGAACAGCCGTTAAATCGGACCCAAGAACGGTAATCCCAATATGTCCCAAATACCCAGAATCCACTGTACACCCACGAGCAAACTCGCCTTCCACCAGGGTAAAAAGGGCGTAAGAGAAAGGCCTCCTTTGGTAAATTTATTTCAAGTACAAAAATTTCACATAAATTTCAATAATTCCCAAGATTAAGTGATAGAAAGCCTTTCTCTTACACTGGCTTTTTTCCCCTAGGGGAAACTGAGTTTGTTCACAAGGATACCTCGCGGTAACGATAGGTGATCCCAAAAGGGGATATCAGCGCAGGCAGTCGAAAGAAGACAATAATGAAATGCACTCGAAACTCTTACCTTTGGCAGTGGATACGTGTCTGGCAGCGAGAGAACGGGCGGCGAGCTCGGCGCGTCCGCCTCGACGGTCAACGCGGGGGTGTTCGGCGTTAGGGGATTCAGGCTAGTGGTCGAGGATGAGACGGTTACGGTGCCGGTCACGGTCACCTTCGTCGGCCGGCCCGGCAGCTCCTTCGCCGCCCGGTGATCAGCGAGGAGCTTGTCGAACGTTTTGCTCCGGCCGAGGACCGTCCTACGTAACGAGACCGTGTGAGCCTTGCAGGTGAGCGACCTGGTGCAAGGCTTCCCGGTCTCATCGTTCCAGACCCCGCAATGACGGTCGGGATCATACTCTCGGTCCTTGAGCAACGACCTGTCAGTTTTGAGCCTTTTCCGCCGTGGCTGACCACTGCCCGTCGATGTGTTAGGGCTTTTCACAGGGCTCGAAGAAACCGACGACGTGCCACCGCTGGTCGTGTTCGGGGTCTGTACAGGTGGCAAAGACTCGAGCGGCGATCGTGGCGACGATGGGATCGGTAACGATGTCGTTATGCTCGTTGGAACGCTCGGCTGTTGTTGTTGTTGTTGTTGTTGTTGCTCCCCGGGCCGTTTCACGCTCGTGTGATTGATCTTGACCGCCCCGGCCGGGATCTGCGGCGACGACGACTGGGTCTTTTTCAGTTTCGAGACTTTGCAATAAGGCGTTTTCACGGGTGGCTTTACGGCCGGGGTGGAGGGAGGCGGGAAACTGACCGTGCCGGAAGGATGGCGACTTTCTGCGGCAGAATATTTCAACGACGTTTTAGAATTTTGTTGAGAGTGGGCGAACCTGATCGGGTGGTTATATCGTATAGGGAGCGGTTATTGTGGTCGGTTGCTTGGGATTCGGGATATTCTTGACACTTTAACGACCGCTGTCGCGCATATGCGTGATTTCGATCTGCCTGGCGGTTATCGACCGGCGTCGTGAAAATCATTCGAGATCGATGATTTGATGCTTCGTCCGTTGACTCTCGATCGACAATGCTTGGGTCCGCTTGGACCCGTATGTAGTACAAATTATATGTAGCACAGAAATAATATAATTTGCGTAAATTGTAAAAATTGTGAAAAAAAAATTTTTGTTTCAATTATTTTTTTCATATTGTTGAGAAAATAATAAGCAAATAATAAAGGGTACACAAAATATTAAAAAAAGTCGTTTAGAGTGTGTATTGGAAGGTAGCTAAACTTAGGGTCCGTTTGGACTCCGGCATAGTCTCCCGTGCGAACGGTCGATTCCAGTTCTTAGCAATTATTAGGCGAGAATTTTTTAGTGAAATGTGCAGCCGTCAAAGTGTTAACACGTTCACCGCGCAGCCAATTTCGGCTGATTTTCCATCATGTGTTATTTGACCATTTTAATTTTTATTAGATGACGGTCACCGGTGACCGACGCAGCGGTAAATGTGTTACCACGTTCGCTACTAGTGTCGCGTACGTGTAATGCTCCAATTTCTGAGTTGGAATACTTTATTGGATGAAAGCAGAATGTGTTTGGAATATTCACCTATACTTTCGTGTTATTCATTATCTTTGTTTTATTTTTACTTGATAATTAATCAGGAAGGTGATAATGTTTCATTTTATAGAATGACGAAAACCTAGCGTGGACTGTGACGAACGTTTGTGAAGTAATATTGTAGTAGCGAACGTGTTATTGTCAAGAATTCTGGATGGTTAGGCTATGTAACAGTGATTGAGTGGTGATTAACTATCATTTTTCAAGTTTCATGAGTAGTCTATAGAGGAGATATAGTGTTGTTTTAAAAGCGATTTTGGACTAAGGCATTCAGCTGTTAAGATATCAGAATTGTCAGAAAAGTGTAAAGGCTCTTAGGTGCCACCCTACTATTCACCCCTGCTCCAATTTAATATTTTTTCTGTTTGAATTTAAACGTAATAATTTCCAACATTGCTAGAGGTAATACAAATATGTAAATGTAGTTGCTTACTGGCAAAAGAACTGCCATTAATTAGCTGTATTATCTTTATTATCTTCTGCAACATCGATAGGGCCCGCTTATCAAAGGTCTACTATAAAACTACATTATATCGTTTCCACCGACTATACTTCAGCGCAGTCGTTTATATTAACAAGATAAAACCTTTTTTCCTATATTTACTTCCGAATATCAATGAAGTGTTGTTTTTTGCACTTTCTGTGAATTATGTGAAACAATAACATATGTATGCATATGTCGTGGACGACGAACTATGTAGATTCAACTGCTCTAATTACTCGTGAAATTGAGTATAAGTTTTATTTGTGAGTGTCTCATAATATTGAATATATATAATACTTTTTTCATATGATCTTCAATTGAAAATTGTATTTTAAATAGTGATAGATATCTATCCATTGATGCAAGTTTGTAATATTACACGAATATATTTAATTTTAAACAGTCCTTGAATGTATGTTTGATATCAAAATGCTAATGTAAAGGAACTAAACTAATAGAAGGAATAATATGATCTAATGACATACCCATATGCTGAATAAGAGCTTGTGGTTTGACTATGGCATGGCATGTTTCGCATACTACCGTGTAAAAAGTATCTCTTTCAGGGCAGAATCCATATAAATCAATGTCTGAAACAAAGATAATCTTGTTAGGGCAAAATACATAAGGATCAGTACAATATTTTATGTTAAATACACTAAATGAAACAGCCCATATTAGGCAACACAAAATACTATTTACCTTCTGCCGCAAGGCGTGTGACTGAGCTGGAAAGTTGTCCTTCTGTTTCTTCATCGCCTGAAACAAACCAAATCCTTTTATGGTGCAAATAGTAAAACATTCAGTGCATTATATAAATATATCTCATTATAAAATCCTTTAAACCATAGAATGTATGTATCATTAATTTAATATATACTTCATAGCAACAATTTAAAACAAGACAAGACTATCATATCTGATCTTACAATCAACTAGAAAGTTCAATTTCCTTATACTATATCTCTAAGTACAATATAACAAGAGATTAAAATTAATTCCATGACATTGCCATTCTCACATATATCAAATCTTTCCCCTGAAAATCCTACCATCATTCATCCCTATCATTCACAAAAGCAGAATGTGAAATAAAAAACACAAACTTCTGGGGTAAACAGCATTTATTATGTTTACATTTTGTACATGCACAATCTTTCCACAGGCTCTCATCAGAGAGTGATAAGAGAAAGAAAGGACAGATATAAAAATACAACGGTGTACATATAGAAACAATATTCCCGGCGAGATCGTGCGGCGATCGCGTCCGCTCGGGATCATTAAACGGGGAGGGATCAGAACAGCCGATCCATGCCGGGATACCGAGTATGTGGAACGTTCGACGCTCCGTGTGTTTTTTCACGATCGGTATTTCTCGTTTCACGAATTACATAATTCTCAAAGAAAAGTAAATCAAATAACCGCGATGCGTTCGTCGTACGCGTCTCAATGCGTTCATCATTCGCAGACAATTGTCGGGGGCAACGGTTTCTGAACGAGAGCATGTGTATGTGTGTGTGTGTGTGTGTGTGCGAGGGGGGTACCGTAACGTGATGCCCGTGCGTCAAGTCGACGGACAAAGGAGCATCGAAGTTGAGGTTAGGTAGACGGTAGCTGGGACGCTCGCCGTTGTCGCGTTCCGAGCAGCGACAGCGGCCGAACGAACGAGCTTTTCGATGATATTACAGCGCACTTACTCAACGGCTTGTCTCGTCCGATTCTTTCGATCCAGCTGGACCAGGGCTGGCCGTGAAAGAATGTTGGGCTGTCACTTCCCGACATTGCCAGTGGCGCTCGCGTTCTGAATGAAACACGATGCGATTTCTCGTGTGTATATAGCGAGGCGAAAGTGTTTTGGGGCCGGGCCGCGTGGACTGTCAGGTACGGCGGCGGCGGCGGCGGCGAGTCGCGTGCAGTCTGCCTTTCCCTCGACACGCCGATTTCTTGGACACATTTAGCCCCCGTAATGGTCACGGCGTCCCCTATTTAAATGAATGGAAAAAAGCTACCGTACGCGGATCCCGTCTGGCATGCCCCTGTCGTGAAACATCTCTCACGGATCCGAGGATTTCTACTCTCGCCTCTCTCTCCGTTGTACACCCAAGTACGAGTAACACGTTTCGGCGTACGGCACGCACGCACGGCTATTACTGAGACTCTTGGCCACTGCATTGGAGGAACCGCCGTGACGTCACCGACGTACAGACGGCTCACTCGTGCGCAACTTGCTCCGCGATCCAATAGGACGCCACGGATCTCTGCCCGAGCTGCCCCGTTGCTGGACCTTATTGGCTGTCGCCGCGCCGCTCAGCAGGTGGATTGAAAATTTGAAAAGTGGTTTCCTCGACGGAAACGCATTTCACGGTCGATTCTACGATGAATCTAATGAAACTCGGATCATTTTTACGAATTTATCTTTGGGACAGTATCAGCTAGAGTTTGCGAAAATTTAATGTTTGCTTGGATACATTATTTGATAAGTTTTCGGAGTTTTATTACTAAGAATTCAATTTCCGATGGAGTCTTTAAATGTGGCGCGTACCGTGTTGAAAAAAAACATGACGGTATTGGGCGTAGTTTAAATATTCTACAGATTCTCTGATACCATTGATTCAAGATTGATTTTAATTTATATAAAATACTTGGGAGTTTTATTGTGAATTTATTTTCACAGAACAACAACTTGACGTCGTATGCAATGGAAACTTTCTATTTTATATCAAATTTTTGACGGTTTCGATGACAAAAGAAATTCTTTTAATGGTTCTGAAGAACAAAGTCAATTGTTGACAAATAAAACTAAATTCTACATTAAGTGTTGTTGTATATAACTTGCTTATCAGCTGTTCCAAGCTTATACCATGTGGTACTGCCGAGTAATAAATAAAAAAATCGGAACATTTCTTTTAGCTGTTCAATAAGTTCAAGATGAAATGATTGATTAGTTATACTTTTTACAGATCTATTTAAATTAATTCTTAACACAAGTAATATGTCGACGAGATTGGACACAGCTGTCAATTATCTTTCCATTGTTTTTCTATGTTTCTATTATGATCTATGTTTCCTGTCTTAAAAAGTACGATCGTTTTTATAAAAGAGATCGAACATTTTCCCTTCGTTCCGTACACGCTTTCTATTCACCCAGACAATAGCAAAACACAATTTCAAAATGATTGCAAAATATATTCTTCCACTTAACTTAAATCATAGGATCATTAATCCTGTGTCAGTACAGTAAATCTCAACTTCTTACAAACGAGTAGAACTGTGACTAGCAGACAAGTGACGGCAGTATTGTAGTCTGGCGTCAAACGTTACAAATAGAACATTGAGAAATACGTGAATGATTTGTTAGTAGCCCATAAAGCGCGAGTCTGCGGACAATGGAGTTGGCTGAGTTCTGTGCCTCGTGTCACCGCGATTCTCTTGGATCTGTACCCAGTTCAGGTACCAAAATGGCTGTTTCTCTTTCGGCCAAGTCTTGATTCTGTTTATCAAATCGATGTCACCAAGAGCGTATCCAATGGATTTATCGTTGTCGTCGAGACGGTGGTCGTCGGTACAACACTGGCGTCTCCGTTTAAACGATTCGAGACCGACATTGCCGTTGCTCGTTCTTCGAGGTACTGAGGAAGAACCTGAGGGTAGCGGGTGCGCTCAGGACTTCCGGCGTAAGGTGGCCGTTGGGAGTGCACCAAACAGAAGACGGCGAACAGAAATACAACGTGTTTCATCTGTAATGAAAAATCGATGGACTCGCTATTATATGACGCATAACAAGCTGTTTGACGATATGAATTTTTGATGTCGAGAGTGAGCTTCAAATTGAATGTTCCGATATTAACGTAACGTATACGCAAATTAAATTGTAATGTATAGGCTGTTACGTTGAATCGGGAGAATAAATTATTTTACGTAGAAGTATTGATTACTAATTATTCGGTATTAAAACAAATATAGGATCCCTTAATGTAAAATTATCCTTAATTAATTTTAATTATCAACGAACGTGTTGTAATTTCTATTGTAATTTTATTTTTAAAATATCGCTGTTATTTTTTATACTTATTCGTCGAAAATTAACAACCATCTAAAAATGCACCAAGGTTAGAATAATAAAAAAACTTAAAATGATTATTCTGCTCCGGAAGTAGATTGTTCTACATAAAGTAAATTCTTAACAAAAGGTTTCTCTCAAATCTTAAAGGTGCTAGCGGTAACGTAAACTAAAAAGAAACATATTTCCTATACTGAAGGTTTTGTTATATTATCAGTTACCCGTAGGTATCATTAAAATCATACCATTACTGTTTTTTGCAAGTTAATAAATATCGTAGACGCATAAACATCCACAGTCTGTTTACAATATTAAGTGTACTCTCTATTTAAACTGTTACTTGGAGAATATTAATTAATATTTATATAATTAATTATTTAAGTCTCACAAAACTCAAATGGACCAAAACACAGACTCTAATTTTGAATTATATTGTTTACCAAACAAACACGTAAATCAATAAAACACCTATAGTTTACACATATAAAACCGTCCAACTGGATATAATTCCTTAATTTCGATTTTACCTTGAACCAGGTATAATTCAAGTAATGCAATAATTTATTTACTGAACCGCGCACAAAGGTTAAAATCAATGTTTTATATAAGAAGTCAAATGTCTAAATTCACTTACCATGGTATCGTTTTAACAATATCACTATTACGTAACAAGGTCTGTCGAGTGTATCGTTTCGTCACTGTTCGCCGATCGTTCGGTTTCAACGTTCGGAACCGATCTATCCGCAGAAGATGCTGGCTGTTGTATATAAATCCGAGAATACTGGACTCCCCACCACGGACAGGAACGAGTCATTACGTCGATGGGAAATCGCAGCAACTTCCCGTGCCCTGTTCCCCAGGAGGGAATCGCGTTTCTTCCAAGACGTGAAATTTGCATTCCAGGGGGAAAGACGCGTCAAGCAGCGTCATCGATATCTTTCACACCGAACGCACAGTAATTTCTCCGGTATACTAATAAACTGGATCCTCCTTAATCCTTCCCACTTTGTGAATTATCACTCGATTATGGTAATTCGTGACCCCGATGTTAGAGGATCGTATCCTTCTTCTTAATAACAGAATATTTTTATCATGTTTTTTACACAGCCACGGTTACTTTTCTAGGTGAATTTTTAAGAATGACAGTTAACTTGTTTACCAAGGAAGACGAGGATCATTCGTCGAAATCTTTTCTTTTTTCGTTTTTAATCTAGTGAAACAATTGTCACTAATGGAATGAATGGATTTTCATCTAGCTCTAGCGTTTGTTAGTTAATTTATATAAATATGTATTTTATGTAGTTTTATTAGTACAGATGGAGAAATGACATATTTTATGTTTTCGTTGTTATTATGGCTTCAAGTACACCCGTTTTTTTATTAACATGTAGATACACAATTTAACTTCATTTTGGTATGTTCGTAACAATATTTTGTTTAATTATTGCACATCCAAATGCATACTTGTAACAAACTACTAATTTGTCCTACCGTTGATAAATCGTAAGTATGACTTGTTATTGCCGATTTGTATGTTCCTTTTCGTTGGTTGTTATTTATTCTAACACTCTTAAATTATATTCTGTCAAAACAATATTGACATATATATTTCTTTTTAAATTATAAAAGACGTAAAATTGTTGCCATATGTGATTAAAAACATAAGAATATATTTTGTAATAAAGAAGGTATCATTATAAGTGTATTTTCAATTCCATTTTTGATGAAAATTCAAATGAGAGTCATCGATGATTGGCGTTTTTAAATTGAAAAAAGATTCGACTGCTAAGCAGTATCACTATTATCCTATTAGTAAAACATTTTGGCAACGCAACATGCAAAAACGCATTGTCACTATACCAATGGTTTCATTCTTCCAAACGGATGATGTCACAAACAGAGAATCCTGCGGTTTTAAGACACAATAAATGCCTGCAGGTGTGTCATTCCACGTGAAATTATAAATAATTATTATTTCCCAGGTTATATCGCAGAATATTATTGTTTGGCGTCGTGCACTGCGTTGACAGCCGTCGTGGTTTTGAACCGGCGTCGTTCGACCATTAAATTCATTCTCTTCATCGCAATTTTTTCAAACTGTCACGAGAAAAAAAAGTGACAAATGCATCAACCGGAGAGTAGTTTTAATAACCCAACTACATAATTGCAATAAATTTCCGTAAAATAAAAGATAAATTCTTTCAATCGCGTAGACATAGTCCACGACCTTCTTGCGTTGTATTGTTGCTTAAAACATCGTTTTCAATTCTTCGTATCACAACTCATCTTCTTAACATTGTCAAGGATGCATTCCAAGAGGATAAGATTCCACTGTTCCGCGGTATTTTTCTGGATAAAAACAATAATCTGACACATTAAGATCCGTGAGTTTTAGTGGTCGCTCTAAAAATGACACCTGGGTTCTTTGTGCAACCCATAAACACCCGGTATATTTTTATTCTATTGACAACCGAATAAAATCTTCAATAGGATAACAAAATATGTGAAATTTGTGTGAGATAAAATAAAAATATTTTATAGTTTAAATTTTCACAAAGTGAATCTCATCAAGTTGAAGAAAGAAAAAGAATATGGAGAGTTCCTCTAACGACAGGCACTTTTTTCGAGCTCTCTAATAAGATTCATTTTTCTGGATTCTCCAAATAGAATTTATGAAATAATTGAAAATTAGTGAAATACCGAAGGAAGGATAAAAAGGGTGTTTGCACCTATTATGGAGTGTCTTATTAAAAGCATAATATTTAGTATACATATATATATTTTTCTTTTTATTTTGTTCTATAAAAGTATATTATTTATCTTTAGCACTTTTGCTTAAACTGTTTGAAGGATCCCGGCCAAATTATCAGATTCAACATTGAAATACGAAACTTGACAAATAAAAGAGTTTAAACTGAAAATGTTTGAATTCCTCTAAATCAAAGCGGAACTGAACTTCGTTAAAAACAATCATTTCAAATGTATAAATACAGTGTTTTTAATTCATACAGACACCATTAGTAATTGGGTCACTTACCCAATTGGGACACATGACGCCTTGAAGACGCCCATTTTACGGCTTTTAGCCGTCTTCAACGCGTCATTAGACGTTATTCGCTATCTGGGTATCCATGTGCTATCCGAGCCTGTGGAACTCCCTCTAATAAAGGGAATACAAAACGTTCAAAGGTTAACCACGACGTTCCGACAGTGTTGCGAAGTACATATAATTCAATTTTCTTTTCTCGTTTCTATTTGCAAACATTCCGATCGATAAATAACCGTCCGTATCGCTCGAAGCGAATGAATCGCGACGAAAAAATGGCGGAAATACCAGGAGCACAAAACCGTCGCGCTCGTATCAGCCGAGCCCGCGGTGCTTTCCTCTGAATCGCCTCGTATCATACGAGTCGTATGATTCCCTGCTCCTCCGATCGCCTGCTGTCATCGTCTCCGGCTAAAAAGAAAACTCGAGAAAGTCAGCAACGATTTTTACTGCCACGGTCCAGTATACTCCACGCGTCTCGTTTGTCCTGAGAAATCGTGGATCGCGAGACATCCTGGGTTTTCCCAACTTACGTCGCATTAAGGCGAAGCTTCGTCTCGAAGAACGCAAGAAGTAACCTTGATCCGTTACTCCCACTATGACGGCTGAAATGGTTTCTAACAGAAAATCGAAAGATTTTCTAAGTAATTCAACAGACTATAATATTTACCAAATATGTAATGAACTATTATCTCAATGCTATTAAACATATTTTGTTGATCTGTTCTCGGTACACTGGTCTCGCGGGAAATTTCGAATTAAGACAATTCTCAGTGAAAATTTCGATGAAATCAAATATTGAAAGTATATTATCTTTTCTGAAGGATTTGAGATTGTGTAATAGAATGCATACAAGTCTGTATAGTGTACTTATCATAATATATTGTTTCCAATAACAACGTACATAGAACCCAGACAGCACACGACGCCTTAAAGACGCCTATTTTACGGCTATTTTAGGTCTAAGGTGTCTTTCAGCCGTGTTCAAGGCGTCATTTGCTATCTGGGAATTAAATGATAATGAAATAAAATGAAGGCAAGGTATTAAAGAAGAAAGATTTTGTATCTGTTGCTGGATGTGCAATTATTCTTTGCTTGATTGTGATGCAGTAATAAGTAAGATCAGGATTTCTGATAACTCGATAATTGGATCTAGTTCCTGTCGATACGTTTCTCGAGTAGGCAACTTAATTTGGTATGTGTATATACGCGTTACGTCATTGGAATTACACGTTTTATTCGTTCAGTGATTCTTTTTCTTGAACTTTGACATCTGTAGCTACGCGTACGATAAGATTCGGTATTTACCGATTGGTATATTAAGTTGTAGCATAAATTCTGTTCAACAGATTTTTTCAAAAAATAATAACAAGCAATCTCGTACACGATGTGAAATTAACAGTGTACATATTTTTTTTAAACAAAACACATATACGTATGTATTTATTTAAATGTGACTTTAATCGTAATAACAACACGAACCACCGAGAGACACCGTATATAAATACACGTCCTCCTTACAACAAGAAGAAAACCTTATTTGAAACAGGTTTTACGAGCTGCAAATAAAAGACGAATTTAATTATATCGCCATATGTACCTTGATACATGAAACCTGTATGTGTACCTAGTATGGAAACATGTAGCATTTTCTAACTAGAACCTCAGGACACTCTTGTTCAATTTTCTATCTACATTTTTTCTCCTTCCATTCACTTATAACGTGTGCGCATGTAGATCACAGATGTGATATAGAATAGATTTACATACATAATTATGTTACATATGTGTCTGGGACTTCGTGTCTCATGTTCTGAAATACCGATCGCGCAAACAACTGTAGATTTTCTGCTGCCCTCTACATCATAAGAACGGTGAATTCGTGAATTACATTCAATCTGCTTACAGCTAGCCAATGAAGAAGCTAAACAACATGAAACAATTGATCAAAATGAACAAGCTCGCAGCTAATTATCTCATATTATTTGCGATATAATTCGTCAACTTGTAGATGATTGTAGTTGCCAATTCTATGCTAAATAATAATGATTGTCCAAGTCTAACCACACGGAGCTCGCTGCGAATGAAGATCTATTCCCACAACGCCTACATCGCTTTTTTGTACCGAAAAATAGTTGCGTCTAATATTAGTGTTTCTTAACAATTTATATCTTAAAAAATTGCTCCCAATTTGCTCCCTCGGAATCTACAATTGCTCCTATCGCACCGTTTATATTTAATGAGATATTCGCAAATGAAAAAGTAAAAATTTGATGTTTGCAAAATATGTAGATAGTTTGTAAATGGTCTTTTTAGACAAGTATTATGGTACCAAAAAATTGCTCCTGATCTGTTTTATAATAATCAATAGTGAGATATCTCAATAACAACTTATTAACGAGGAGCAAATGAAATAATGTTGTTGTATACAGGTTAGGTATACGTTAGACGGCAGGCGCTCGTTTATTGCAGCCTTCGGGGCTGTAGAGGGCCAGAATTCCAAGAATATTACAATATCTCATTAAATATAAACGTTGCGATGGGAGCAATTTTAGATTCCGAGGGAGCAAATCGGGAGCAATTTTTAAAAACTTATTAAGAAACACTAATGTTCGGCGCCAACTATTCTCCGGTACGTTGTGTGTATGTAGATAATATGATTTGTCGGTAACAAATATATGCACTGTATCTGTTTAAAGGATGAATGTAATATGAATGGAGAGTAGATTTTTATGCAAAAGTAGATTTTCTAAAGTAATTTATGACGACAGGAAGAAATCTGAATTTTTTTTTTAACAATATCCAGATCTAACAAGTTTCTATATATCTCGATTCGTACTTGTTATAAACAATATAAACAATAACAATTTGCATTATAAAAAAGCTGGCAGATTGTTTAACAATATCCCCCAGAAAGGTAATTGTTATAACAATTACTTTGTTAGATATAATAAATTAATCGAGAAATAATTTTTGGTGCGCTCGAAAGAGCAAATTCTACAAAAAAATCTAGGCAATAATTTTCGAAATAACTGAAGAAATAAACTGATACACATTTCTCACGCTTAAATTGTGTGAAGTTAATTATGAATAACAAAATATTCCATGTTTCTGGGAAATACTAAATTCATTTATACTATACTTGATAAGAAGCATGATCTGCAAAATGATAACAAATATAATATCCTTTTCGATAGAATTACTACACAACTTGCCTGAAACCGTAAACATTTTATATATTTAATTGTCCTTAGTTTTCCTGCACTTCTATTCTAACGCAAGAATTCTGTCAAAAAAAAACTAATTTAACGCAATGAAATTTGTTTTCCTTGTCAAATGACAATGTACGTATCTTCGAACGTTCAACGAACCTACGTTCCATTCACTAATCGGTATTCTTATAATCGAGGTTTTTATTTACAATCAAACCGCTACTGTTTCACCTATTATCGCACTAGTAGTCGACTATCATCTAATTTAGTATTGCAAACGAGATCATTTAAGTTAATCAACGTAATAACGGCAAAATTACTCTTCCCGCTCAGCGAAATAAGCGTCATTTCAAGGTCCTTGCCAATTAGACGTTCCCTGGTTATTTCCTACCTAGCCGTTTTTTTCCCTATTTCTTCCGACGAACCCTCAATATTTTACCCACGAATCTCAAGTCTTACTTTCCAGTTTACTCTTAACACATTGTCGACCAGTCATGTATCAGTTCAACGTACAAATTAAATCCTCTTTCAAAGTTGTAAGATCTCAAAGGGGTATTCTAGTTTAGAGTGTAATTTTTTAGGCCCTGTTATGGATATTATTACAAAGAAACCATATGATTTCTTTAATACTCGTTGTATACTAAAGCTGACTATACTATCCTTCTTAGCTCAACTGACATAACTAACATTTTCAAACATCCAAGAAAAATAAGGTTCTATAATTTTCCTTGTGCCATCCAATGTTTTGGATTATAGAACATTTTAATATAGGAAACGCTTTAAATTATATTTACTTTTTTCTTTCATAAGCGTAAGTGATAATTAATACCTACCAAATTTAGTAGATAAGACAATGTAAACTAGTAAGATCTAAACTTTAATTGAAATGTGAAAAATACGTGGAGGTTCAAATTATTTCGAAAAATCCTGAGAAACGACAATCTGGATATTTTAACTATGCAGAAAAGTATAGTCACCTATCAATATTTGTCTTGGTTGGATGGATTGATTCTTTGCATATTCAAACGTAATCCACCTATTTGCATCAAGCAGCTAAACACCCCTCGAACCAGCTATCGTCTATAATTATACCTTGTATTTTCGTTAACGAATTATTCCTCAACTAGGTAATAGTACCCAGTTCACGTTCAGGGATTATTTCACTTCTGGTAAATGTGAATCCGCCCTCGCGCGCGGAATATTCCGCTTACGGATGCAAATTGGTTAGACGTCTTTCACTTTGAAATGCGTTGACCTAATCCTGAAGCATAATTTAGGCGTAAATCTGTAAAGACACTGCAAAGACAAATGTCGTAACACCAACATTTTGTGTTGACTGCCATGACACCCAAATATGGGTGACATTGCAAAAGGTTTGGATTATTTAAATATCATTACAAAATTTTGTGTGAATTTAACATCGCAGTGTAATTTAAACAGGATCAACTGTCTCTGCTACCTAAACACGTATATTTTCGACGATTTATGAATTAAGAAACGAACTGACGTGTGTCTGACTACGTACGGCTGTTTCCACTGTGTTTTCTTATTTCCCTGTATATCTACAAAACCATAATACATATAAAAAAGTGTACATTTGACAATTTTAATGGGTTTCCATTCCCTATAAAACTGTACAATAAAATTGCTAATAATTTGTTTATTTATTTACTTATTTAGACAATTCTTAGGGCAAGTGTATTATTTACTCTAAATCTTAAATATTAATACCAATGAAACAGAATTTCACTTTGACTCAAAGAAAATGTATGGTATACACGTTTATTAAATTCAGTTTGAAATCGTCATCACGTGTCTGACTCGATGTTATAAGGGGTTAATAGATAGCTTGAAAGAAAACCGAAAGACGGACGTTAGGAATCGTAGTTAAGCCGTTCGTAGAAATTTCAGATGCTAGCTGAGGGGGCACACGTTCATTAAATTGTGCCCCACCTAACCTGGCCCGCCTACACGAAGGCCGGTGCGACACGGCGACGGGACAACTTATATTTCGACCAAACCATCGGGCGACGCGATGAACTACATCCTAGTGCCGTTTCTTCTAGGTCAGTTTTGCCATCTGTCTGTCTCTCTTACCCCTTTTCCGATTAATTGATTGCCGTGCTCGTGACCGGTTATTGTCGGTGTCAAGAAGGATGGGTCAGGCTATGTAACGTGTTAAAACATTAACACCGTATTTACGTCATACCAGGCGCGTTTATACGAAAATTTGACGTGATTATATCGACCACTCGGCCGGAACAAATACAGTGAATTGGTAGATGTATTGATGTGTGGATACTGAATGTTTTGATTAAACGTGGATTGATTCTTCGTGGCTGGTCACGATTCGAACACAACTGTGGGGTTCAGTGGATGATTGTTTATATTTGTGAAGAAATGGATACCGAGATGTTTAATTCTGTTCGTTTGATTACGTGATTTTATGCATTTGTATTGGTGAACGAAATAGAAACTGGAATGAGTAGTACTGAATCCAATGAATCCAAAAGAATCCAAAAGAATCCAAAAGAATCAAAAAGAATCCAGAAGAATCCGAAAGAATCCGAAAGAATCCAAAAGAATCCAGAAGGATCCATCAAGACCCATCAGAATCCATCAGAATCAATCAGAATTCACAACAATCCATGTGAATCTATTAGAATTCACCACAATCCATGTGAATCCATTAGAATCCATTAGAATCCTTCAGAATTCATCAGAATACAAAAATTCACCACAATCCATGTTAATTCATTAGAATCCATCAGAATCGAAACGAATCCATCAGGAACCATGAAAATCCCAAACACATTGGAACCACATATGTAGAACAATCGAAAAGAATTTTCAAAAAATCTAAAAAATGTGAGAAGTGACCTCTTTGAATCGATAACGACTTATCTTTCAGCCGTTCGGCTACCGAACAACGACGATCAATGGAAGAACGGGCCGGAGTACACGTTCAACGCGACAATCGGCACGATCGCGAGCATAGACTACGACCATTTATTGGGATTGCAAGAAGACGATCAATCGGAGGACTATTATAGAGGTTCGAGTGTGACCACTCAACTGAAATGCAGGCCCAGAGAGCCAGACAGATTACGCTGTCGATTCGAGAACACCAAAATCACCTTGTTAAATGCTTCAATATTCGAGCCTGATGCTGTCATCCCAGCCGAGGATGCAACCTACAGGTCCTTCGGCTTCGGGAACGTGTCGTTCGAGATCGAGTTCGACCAGAACGGAATCAAAAGTTACGAATTCGAAAATGACAGTGAAATAATGGTCGATCGCACCGCGAGCATGTGTCGATTGATAGCCGGTCATCTGAACTTATGGCCGAAGATGGGCGAGGTGAAGAGGATCAAGAGACTGGAGAACACGACCGTGGGCGAGTGTCCTGTCAGTTACGATACCGAGAAAGTGAATCTGGACAATTGGACGACGATCAGGGAGTATCTGCTCACTAAGCCCCTCAATATGCAAATGAAGAAAGGGTTACAGATTAGAAAGGTGATACACCTGGACGAGTGTCTTCCTCATCCGGTTTACTTCTTCGGGACGCGGTACACCTTTGACGTGGTTCCGTTCGAGTCTATTCAGAAATTGGTACGTAATCACTAAGGTGGTTCTTATTTTCAATTTTAGAATTTTTTTTGCAACGCCCCCGAAAAAATTTCATAGTAACGTAAACCTTATCCATCGAGCTTTAATATCCCTTAAACAATATTTCTCTGATACTTTCAACAATTTTATAAATGCCTTGTAACATTTACCACATAACTTGTCCTCTTTCCATTGGGCAAAACGTGTTCATTAAAAAAATATGTGACGTTAAGTTTCAATGTTATGAACAATTTTGTAGAATGTTCTGACCTTTTGTTTTTACAAATGTCCACTGATTTTTATTCCATGATTCTAGGTATCATCCGTGGGAAGAGTGTTCCTTTCGAATTCCAACTTCACTTCCGAAACCGTCAATACACTCCACGTTTACGACGAGAACAGGAAGTTGATCGGAAATGACGTCGCCTCCGTCACCGATCCTTCGTCAACTAATCGATAAAATTAGAACCAATTCTTCGGTTCGTTTTTTTTCTGTATATGCAGACGTAACGTAATTCGTGGCAGCAAGAGGGCACGAATTAATGTCAGGGATCTACAGATGTACGAAAAATGAATTTATGTGAATAAAAAATAGTTGAAAGTTGATATTTACGACACCAAGAAGACCCACTTTCATTCGAAGCAATCAAAGCATTTTCAATTTAAACTCTTTTATGCATTAAGTCCCGTCTTTTTAATATTGAATCTCACAATTTGGTTGTGATTCTTCGAACAGTTTAAGCGAAACTGCTACGAAGTCCCACATGCACGGAAGTAAAAATAAATAATATACTTTTATGGAATAAAATAATAACTGTACTATATATTATACTTTTAATGAGACACTCCATAATAGGTGCAGAGAAATTCTATTTTCATTCGTTCGATACTTCACTAATTTCAAATTATTCCATAAAGAATGTCTTTTTAGAGATTCCAGAAAAATGAAACTTACCAGAGAGCTCGAAGAAACACAAATATCAATAATTTCTTATTATTTCTTAACAAGCTCATCGGGCCACTAATCTGTCCGTAGTTGGGTCACTTACCCTAAACCATAGGATCCTCTAAATCCGTCACTGCGATCACAGACGAAGTATAGGAGTAGACATTGCATCCAATATATTTTTGCGGCCCACTTTTCTGGGGTTACGTACCCCATTTCTATTTTAATGTCACTACCTACCGCAGATTCACCGTTCTCAAAACGTAGAGGTCGCTAAAATCATAGGCTTTTTAAGGTTTCGGTACTACAGTTTAGATGGGCCAACTCCCATAAGATGAAATGTTTACTATTATACCTCGTGCTGCAATACACGTACATTACTTTCCGACTGGAAAGAGAAAGAAAGAGCTAAATTGACGCTCGTTAATTCGCAAGAAGGGGTCAGTAGTGCAGCTAAACTGGCCACGTTATAAAAGCGGCCCCAACGTCCAATTACACTATTGAAGTGGTTGAATGTTGCACGGTGCCCATCATCTACGAACTGATGAACATAGTGCCATTTTTCATGGGTAAGGGTCATTCCACGTGAATCCCGTTGCATTGGTTTTCCTGAAAGAATTATGCGAAAAACCACTCATCTAAACGGATTTGTCTCTCTATTAGTTTTAGTTCAGTACTTTTAGAAATTCCTGCGAAAAAAAATACTAAAAATTAACCTATTTTTAGTTTTTATCGCAGAGTTCCCAGTTTTTGATCTAATACTCCTGGACTATTTGTGTAATCGACGTTCTACTATGACAGTGGATACGAAACAACCGTTGGATTTAAATGAAGACGCGGTTTATGGACACTTCGCTCGTCGCTATTGAATTGCAATTATATTAACTATAAGTAACATAAAAGAAAAGTCTCCCACAAGATATTTTTTCTGAATTTTATTCGTTATTCGTTGTACGAATAAAAATTTATTCGAACACTGTCCAGACCTTCCAAATGTATCAGAAGGTGTTCGAGGGCGTTCAAGAACGTCCAATGTCGTCCGATCTCTGTCGGAACTAGGAAAGGTGACAATTACGCGCACGGAAGATTTCAGCAAGAATTACGTTCCGCACGGAAACGGTCGTTAATCAAATTGTTTCCAAGGAGACGATAATGAATCAAGTTGCCTGTCGTATAAAAGGTAGACAGATTGATGCTGTCGCATCAGTTATATCGTTAGAGGTTGGACGACATGTTGGTAACAATTCTACCGTTTTTGTTGGGTATGTAAACTAAGAACGTTCAAGTAATCTCTTATATTGCTAATTGACACTAGGACATTACTGTAGTTCCTTCGTTTTACTAACTTTCCCTATATGTTGTTAGAAATGGACCCTCAACTTTTATTATTTTCTTAACAATATCTAATAGAATCATAACTTTTGTTACTATAATAATAATTATTGGACTCCTTACTATTTTACCCACTGCATCTTTTTTAGTGATTAATAGACCCCTGATGTTTTAATAAATCAAAACTCCTCACTATTACAGTATAACTACAGTATTTACCCCATCGAAGAAAAGTTTACTGAATTTCATTTTATCGTTTCCTTCAGAAATTTTAGATAAATATATAATACATACAGGCTGTTCTATGTAAGTGTTGTCACAAAACTTTAGGACTTTTTTTTAACTTTATACAATAGCTACAGATTGGTGAAAATGACCCTGCATTCACTGCACGGCGGTTAAACTTCGAACACTCATCGCTAATTTACTGTACAGCAATCTTCGAAGGCTCCTCAAGCACTGAACATTAAATATTTCATAAACTAATGGTCAATAACCCTTATTAAAATCAGCGTTACTTGTTATTAGTATTAAGCACCCTTCGAACACTGATCGATGATTTACTGCACCTTGTCCATGATTTAACATTCCAGCCGCACACGTAGCCGTCGACGAGGACGCTCACCAGGCCTCCGACTGGCAACGATACGGCCCAGAATGCACATATGACGTCCTGGTGAACATGTCTCTGTCCAACGTCGACGACAAAGATGATCGTACCTGCATGACGACCGTGACCGAGCTAAGGTGCAGGCCAAAAGGCAGTGACACCCTCAGCTGTCGTTTCGCCAACTCAAAGATGTTCAGCCTGGACGTGAGAGGGGATGTGTGTCCAGAAGTGGATAGATTCATACCGAACAACGACAGATTCCGTGACCCGTTTGAGGTCAGATTTAACTCATTGGGCATCGAGAACCTGGTCGTCCCGAGGAACATCTCGAGTGGCAGGCTGGACATAATCAGAGACATCGTGGGCCAGCTGAACATAGGCTTCGAGCTGGAGAAGGGTAAGCAACGGTTCGTCGCCACGGAGAAGTCCAGTGTCGGAAACTGCGAGGTGGAGATCAAGATGTCGAGGCCAGGATACGGGAGGGGTAGCGACAGGTAGGGATGAACCGATTCAAATAAATACACGTAAATAATTGGTATTTTTGTTTCGATATCGAGTGTTTTTAGTATCGATACTTTTCGTTGCGATATGCAGGGTGTTCAGATTAAAACAGGCCACCTAAATATCATCTCTATCTGTGATCATACGAGAAATATTTTTTACGTGGTTTCAAGCAGGGTTGGGCAGAATTTTATTCGAATTACACAGTGAAAAGCAGCAGTATCTGAGGATGTCGTCCTGAGTTTTAAACAGTTAATGAGATTAAATAATTGTTCGACAAATGTCGATTCATTCATAAAGAAGTATTATTTTATTATAAAAATTTTAATTTCCACGTTTTAAAAGTGATGAAATACTTCTTTTTATCTGGTTTCAAGAGACGAATTGGATGGTGGACAAAATTATATAAGTGAATTTTAAATTTTTAGAAAGAACCATTAAAAAGTAACAGTTATAAAAAAATGTTGTCACCATCCGATACAAGTAGGTGTTGATACTTTTGATACGATGCTAAGTAGGTATCGATATTTTCTTTCGATGCAAGTTATGAGTAAAAGTATCGATACCTTAATGGTATCGGTTGATCCATAGTGACAGGAAGATGGAGCAGGATATGGACATTGTGTTTGAGCCCGAGAGACCGGAGATCGTGCCCCTGAATAGGGCGATGCTGGATATAGAGAAGGTCAGACAGATAAAGAAGTGCTCGGAAAAGTCGTTACATTTCTTCGGGACCAATGTGAATCCAAATTTGGAGAAGAATATTTACTTTGTCATGGTAAGACGGGGTGTGTCACAATTGGGGTAGTACAACCGTTTAGGTTAAGTAATTACAGTAAATCCTCGATGAGTGTTCGAAGGCACCTCGGCACTGAACATTAAATATTTCATAAAGTAATGGCCACAGGCGGCTGAAACAATTATCATTGGCTTCAGAATTGCAAGCTTATATCATTCTGTGCTAGACCTCGTTAAAAAATCAGCGTTACACCTGGAAAGTTCTCCTGGTGCGTGCCAAGAAGCCTTTGGACAATCATCGAGGATTTACTGTATACAAGAAAAAATGAGTCTGAAAGAAAAGAATGAAATTTTTTCGGGTGATGCTTCGGTTTTTGAAATAATCGAATTTGAAAATTTATTGGAGACCCGGCTATGTTCATTGCATTTCATTTCTACTTATTGTCACTGCGATACACTTGTGCTCGATGAATTTTCTAAGTGGGTTTTCTTAGAAGCTCATGTAAAAAAATTTATTCTTCTTTTTCGACGTATTTTTTCGTATAGATTCATCTCCTCATCTATGTCCACACCTATTTTATTGTTATCTTATAGACTTCCAAAAAATTCAGGAATACTTCCCAGGATCTTTACTATATGATCGAATAGTTTTTAAAATCGAATGTTAAAAAGTTTTCTTTTAATAAAAATTCCTTCGTTTCGGAAACATTTGAGCGCGAAATTTCACTTTTACCATAAGAGACCCAGGGGTGTCACGGAGGGTTAAAGTTAGATCCATAAAAACTGTTAAATTTTGTGTTAACTATATTTCTGTGTTTTCCAGACGACGTCAGTTACTCGCATACGCATTTCAGAAAAGGGGATGACTTCGTGCACCGAATCTACAGGCACGCTGAATGCAGTGAACAAGGCCATAACAATGCCAATCAATCAGAAGATAAGCTTGTCTCTGAGAAGCATAACTCCAGCTCAAAGCTCGTTACCGGATATAATGAATCCAGCGTCGACTAGTTTGTACGGCTTTAGAAACATTAAACATTAACTGAAAAAACAAAATTAACTAATGTAAAAACGGTTCTACAGAATGTACACTGATTATCGTTTCTTAGAGTGGTAGGACGGATGCACCAGTAAATGAACAAGTACCAGTGAACAAACATTCTATGTAAAAACGAGTAAATTAAGTTATTAAAATAAGCAAATGAGTAAATATTGATATTGAAACAACTTTCACGCTGTTAGTTAGAAATGTTCGTTTACTAGTGAAATCTGTATTTTTCTGTTCTTGATTTAATTAATTGTATTTTTACAATTTTTCAAATGGAAATCTATACGTTATAAAATGCTGCAAATATTAAAAAAATTTAATTTTCATGTGCCAAGTATTTATTAATATTATTATCGTTTAAAATTCGACTTTAATAGTTAGAAAATGTCAAAAGTGCTCGTTCATTGGTGTATTTACCCTACATTATTTACTATTCATTTGCCGTTTTTTTATAAACTCACGATTAACCGGGCTCCTATGTCAATAATCGTTCATCTGAAATCACCATGCAAAATACCATTCGTAGATCATCAATTCGAAATTGTATGTAAATATTCATTAAACATTTAAACACATGAAAAAAGTGATAATTCCTATTTGTCTGTCACAGTCCTATTGTCTGTAAAATTTTCATTACGGTGTCGGATAAAAAAGTTGTAAAAAGAGATCTTTACTATATTCTTCGCAATTCGGACAAATTGCAACTTTTTCGCAATTTTTTGTACACATTATATAGTAAACAAATTTTTCTAACTTCCCAATTTAAAAAAAATCATTTTGATTTAAAGATTGAGCGAATAATTTTTTACCCATTATATTGGGTTGAACCAAAAATTCGTTTGCAATTTTAAGGAAAAATACGAGCCTAAATATTGAACATTTATTTTTGCGTTTTGGTCAATAACGTATCCGTCACGATTTTTTAATGTCTCGGCTGTCTCTCCAGTGCTACTGTGTCGATTGCAATGTGTCTGCACGTCTAGAAATTGTGACGTCAGATAGTAAACGAATCGTCTCTGGTGAATACGAGGTCGCTAATGCATATTAGACCGGGAGCGCAGAGATCCCCATTGATAAAGCTTCTATTCGTTGTCATCTCGAACGCTTATCACGGAACGACAGATTGCGCGAGATTAACAACGATCGGTAGAATAGAGAACGTCGCTTGCAACATGGTTTATCAGAACTGGTAGTTAGAAGCAAGATTTAATAGCAATAAGGTAATTCTAGATTGTCGAAAATACATATTACATTCGATTCCTTTCGGACGAGTACAGGAAAATACTTCAACAATAGCAAAACTTGTTGCTAACATACACGTCTTCGAGTAACCGAAAACTCCACAATAAAATATTAATCGAAGAATTGTTATTTCCCTTCGTCGATTGTCAATTATTTTACGTTTCAATAGTACACAATTAAAGCATAATAATATGTATTCAATACTATTGAAACGTATTTGAAAGTATTGTATTTTGAAAATACGTATCATTATGTTTTAATTGTAAAGAATTTTAAAAATAGGTACTATATATTATGTTTTAATTGTGTATTATTTGAAATGTAAATGACAGTCGATGAACGGAAATAACAATTTTTCGATTAATTTTTCGTTGCGGAGTTTTCGTTTACGTGAAGACGTGTATGTTAGGAATCAATTTTGCTATTGTTAGCAAAGTATATGAAATTGGTTGTACACTGTTGTTCCGAAGTATTGCACGCCTACTACAAAATACGTAGTAAAAGCATAACCAATGCATAGCAAAATTTTATTAACCCTCACATGACAGTCCTTACTTTGCTCCCATTTTTGTCACCCCTGTAAAATCGTAAGTTAAGTTTTATTCTGTTTAACAATTTTAATTGTTCTCCAAACCTATGAATTCCACAGATTCAAATGTAATTTTTCATTCTTCGGTGCAATACGTTGAAACACTAATTGTGTTTTAATTCTGATCATTGAAAAAATTAGGTGATTAACAGCCGATGAAGAGGAACCATTGAATCGCGCCGAGACGTTCCCCGAAGACCGGGATTCGCGAATAATCCGCGAGCTCGTATGATAATTACTTAGCCCGGTAGTGGGACGGCTTAATTAAATTACGAGGTCGTCGGAGTGCATCGGTGATATAAAAGGACATTCGTGCCGAAGAAGAGTGTTAAACCAGTTGAAGGCAGTGCCGCGACATGCTCGCCTCATTAATTCCGTTCTTCTTAGGTCGGTAAGCCAATTTTCCATTTAGCCATCGTTATCGTCAATCTCTCTAAATCGGACCAGGAACTGCTTACGCGAACGATAATGCACGACACTAATTATAACATCATTGAACGTCATTTCTAACGTCATAACTTTCATCGTGTTATGGAATCTCGCTCTTTTCGAATGTAATCGGACTTATCATCGCAACGTTAACCCTTAGAACGATCGAAATAATTAATTATACATTGAAGCAACATATACTAAATCAATAATATATTCGTTGCATAATTCTATATTCTTAGTCTGCGTTTGATTGGGGAAAAATTTACAAAATTAACAGCACGGTGAATGGTTGAATAGTATTGGTTAATATGCAGATTTCTTTGAGTAAAATATATTGTTACCCAAGATTCTAATCTAAGCCATCATACAATATTTTTACTGGATTTCATAAGTTTCTGCTAAAATTATTTGCGATCATTTTAAAGGAGGTCTGGTAAGTGAAAATTTCTACGATCAGATAGTTTCCGAAATAATATCGTAAACCAGCGCATTTCAATCACGCTAATATCAACTAAAATTGTCTGGAATACGTCAAGAAATATTTCGAACCAACTTAGTTAAGATAAACATCTCTACCGTCAAGATAGTTTTTGTTGCAAAAATTCTCAATCTGTCGCCCTAAAACAATATATTGGGTAAGTGCAAAAGTTTTGTTTTATTATATTAATACATTATATGTCGATGTCAAGGCAACACAGTGAATTGTTGTTTGGAACAAAAATTGACGCGATCAAGTGTGTTTTATTGTGTAAAATAAAATTAAAATTGAGGTCCAGAAAAGAAATTTTAAAAAATGGAAAGAATAAACGTTACAGACGTAGCAACAAAATTTTTGTAAGCTCTTTAAAGAAACCGTTATATCCATCGCACTATGTAGTAAAATGTAAATTTATTAATATAATTTAATTATACGAATTCACTGAATAATAACATTCAAAAAATTTGTTCATTAGAATAAAAATTTCTATTGAAAATACATATGTTACAGAAGTATTATTATGTATTTTATTAAATTATAATTAAGTTTATTATTTATTAGTTGACTCTTTTACAGTAAACCCATCAAACCTTTTGCACTGACCCAATATTACACATCTTCGTCACTCTATTTCCTGTCATTATCTTCTTATACCAGAAAATTGCTTGCGAAAATATGTCAGAATACCACAGATGATAAGTGACCACACTCCAACAATTGAGACTATTTCCTTTCCTATTCACAACTTAGTGTACTAGGTTGTTGCATAATAAACGTCATTTCTCAACGCGCGTCATGTCAGCCATCTTGAAATCGTTAAACGCGGGATCAAGAAGCTCGTAACTAGTTCACAAGAATGTATTCATTCAGACGGACTTTACTTCGATTAAAAATATTTTCCAGATAAAATAAAATTGTATTATCTCCGCCATTCAAAAACGTAATTTATCATGCAACAACCTAATAAATTAAAAGTTCTGAAATACAGTGACCCACAAAGTTCACGGAAAATTGTCACATTTGTTTAACCAAAGCATGTACCAATCTGCGAATTTAATTTCAAAATTAAGCAAAATTTATCACAAAAGCACGATAACAGTAAAGATTACAAGAATAGATCAACAAAGGGTGTTAATAAAAATGTGGGACACTTGCATAGGGTGGATACTACATGCAAAACTAAGACGAAAATCACGAATGACGAATTTTTTTGTTACAAACGAATTATATTTTAGACAATTTGTTAGATAAATTATATTTTAGACAAACCTCGTCTACTAGAAGTTTTTTAGTATCTCCTCTGGTTCTCGAGATAGTACATTCGGGTCAAAACTTCGTGGGATGGTTTCACCCCTTAAAGTCGCGTCTCAGCCGATAAAAAAAAAATACGTATCCCTTATTTTTGACTGTTTAACAGCCATACCAAGTTTCATAAAAATCAGAGGAACACTCCCGTGCATTTCCTTGTTCGATAATTATGGATAAGAAATTTTAACGGACATTCCTGTGGATTCTAGATAGCGTTTAGGGTGTCCCAGAGGATATACAGGGTGAAACAAAAAAAGAGTTCGTAACATCTGAAGTAGATAGTACTTGGAAAATGATGAAAAATTCAAAATGGGAACCGTTCCAATCATTTCAGTCGCCCGTATGGCGGTCGACGAGACCGTGTGGAAGCACGGGCCGGAGTACGTCTTCGACGTCGAGATGAACTTCACGTCGATCCCGATGAACCACGACGCGGTAAAACGATCGAACTACACCGCGATGAACCTCTTCTGCAGACCTAAAGGACCCGATTCCCTGAACTGTCAGACGGGCAATTGTCGCGGTCAGACCGTGGACATGACCAACGACAATCAACTGGACGTCTCCGAGGAGGACTACAAACAACTCTGCAACGAGGATCCGTTCGAGATCAAGTTCAACCAACGTGGCGTCGAATACATGATCGTCAACGAGGGCATACGCGTCTACACACTGAACGACCTCAAACTGATCGTCGAGTGTCTGAGCATCGGAGTGGATTTGAACGGTGTGCCAGACGGGATCTTCCAGGTTCCAGAGAACACCACGATCGGTCGTTGCAACGTGAACGTCGGGATCAATCACTATCCGTCGAAAGGAGTCGCTAGCAAGATGAGGAGCTATCGCTACGAGCTGGAATCGCTACCGCAGCTGAACAAAGTGCCCGGCGAGGCTATTGTGATCCAGAAGACGATCAAATTGAACAACTGCAGCCACTACGCTCCGTTCTACTTTGGATCCTATGGAGACAATGTCGTCGAACCGGACCTTCAGTCCCATTTGGTAAGTCACTTTGTTTTCATGGGATATAATCATAGCCAAGTTTTCCAACTGAAATACAATCGTATTATCTCCGGCGTTCGAAAACGTAATTTATTATGCAACAACCTAATAAATTAAAAGTTCTGACAATTAGTTCACGGAACATTGCCACATTTGTTTTACCAAAGCATGTACCAAACTGCGAATTTAATTTCAACATTAAGCAAAATATAATCATAGCCAGGTTATCAGTCGGGGGAGCGGCAAAAATATTAACACATCGACTGCCACAGTGAAAAAGGCAGTACGTAGCCAGACACGCTTTATTTTGTTTTTCACCCCTTGTCATTCGGTTTTTTTTACGACTTCACTCTCAATAATTACTTTATCGTTAATATTTTCCCAGACACTTGAGGAATTCTATTCTTATGGCAAATGTTAGATTTATTCTAAACCATAAATGTTCATATCAGCGAAACAGTATTTCACGTTGACTCAAAGAACACGAATAACATACTTGTTTACTAAATTCAGTTTGAAATCGTTATCACGGGTCTGACTCGATGTTGTAAGTCAAGGGGTTAAAGTCATAAAACGTTAAAAATTTATGCATTTTATTAATAGAGGTTATTGGTCGTGTTTCAAATTGTATTGCAATATTAAATATTACGCAAAAATGTTGTAACTCTAGGAAAGAAGGGAAGGACGGAAAAAAGTGGCTTCTGGCCCACCCTACAAGAAAAAAAAATTGTATTTTGCCCACCCTCCCAAAGTTACAAATTTTTTGCATAATATTTAATATTGCTGTATAATTTGAAACACGACCAACAACCTCTATTAACAAAACGCATACATTTTCAACGATTTATGACTTTAAAAACAAAATAAAGAGTGTCTGGCTACGTACAGCCTTTTTCACTGTGGCAGTCGATGTGTTAATATTTTTGCCCCCCCCCCTTGACTGATAACCTGACTACGTCCATGGAAAAAACGTTATGATAATACTGTTAAATGACTCGCTCCTAAATCAAATTAAATTTTCTATATAATATCGTAAAAATTGTTCAACAAATTAATCACAAACAATCTACCGATCTTTTCCATTCCAGGAAAGCTCGTCCAGTCGCATTTTCGTGTCCGACGTCCAGTTCGTCTCGTCGATCACGAGGACAGGGACAATGGGCTCGGACAGGATGAACAATCTCGTCGCCATCTCGGAATACATAAGCGTTACGTTACGGGACATTCGAGGCGCGAAATGGGCACCGTCTGAAATCCCCGAGGCATCGAAGACCAGCATCGAGATGAACGCGGACGTGAATAGAATTTACGCGATGAAGTAAATTTTAAACATTGTTTTCGCAGTACATTATTTTTTTTTTTCATAACAATCCATCCATTTGCAATTACCGACCAGTGGTTTAGTTAGAAAGATCGTCAATGTAAAGTGTTCCTTCGACACCGTAACGTGAAATAAATCGAAGCCTCTGACTGCAGAGTGAAACACCAGAGTGAAACGATACTTTGCGAATTATTAGAAGAATATTTACTGTGTAACACCGTCGAGAAATAAAGTTATAGAAATTACCGATAAGAATATTCCATTTGCAGACGGTGAATTTAATAAACGATTTCTGGGGACTAGTCTTGTATGTAAAGATATCGAGTTAATCAGCATACTATGTTCTCTGATAGCACACAGACGGCTTAATGACGGCTTAAAGACGCCGCAGAACTAAAATAGCCTTAAAATGGGCGTCTTCAAGACGTCATGTGCTTGATAAAAGCAAAATATGTTTTGCACTATTCACCAATATTTTATGTTACTTATTATCTCTGTTTTAGATATTTGTAATATAGGTATTGACTTCTGAAGAACTTATATTTTAAAAGAAAGTGAGAACATTCCACTATAAAATAGTCTGCGACGAACATTTTCGAAACCAAATTAGGGGCAACAAACGTGTTAATTTGCCACTGAAAATTCTCCAAAAAACCATCCCACACATTTATTAACATCCTACAGATACACAGATAAACAACCCAAGATAGTACATGACGCCGTAAAGACGTCCATTTCACGGCTATTTTAGGTCTGAGGCGCCTTTAAGCCGTCTTCAAGGCGTCATTGGACGTCATGTGCTATCGGGAAATCGATCCTCTTATTTCGAGCAACAACATCCGGTGGGTATTAGATAAATTTCTTTTTATTTAAATTACGGTTACATTAAATTATATCTACGGTGATCCACGCACGTGAACGCGCGTGCTCACGGTTTTACAGCGATCATCGTTAAGTTTAAATTGATTGACGAGTGTTGATTGACAAAACCGTGTGTGTATGTTCGCGACGTGCGATCGACAGCCTCTGATCGCGAATACCACCCTCGATACGCGTCGAGGCGGTTCTCTGTATCACGGAATAAATCGGCTTCTATATTCACGTGACTAAAATCCTTACATCTAGGTGCGCAGATTGCAAACGACCCTTCGTTAAATTGCGTTCACGTCTCGATACTCGCGACGATAAGCTTCCCCGTCGACGTTCAACTCTTTCGATACCTTCAGCCGACGTATTTGTTTCAACATCTACAATATCGATACGGTGTATTCGAAACTGGTGATCACAGGTGTCGACGAACCTGTTATACAAGGTGAACCACCACATGAAAGAACAACATCATTTATCAGGAGAAAAATGTGTCAAATTGTCACAAGGAATGGATGAGGGTTAAAAGACAAACTTGAAGAGTGATAAGATTTAACTTAAACACTCTTCAGCTCGAAACCACGAAAGCCAATCGCGACTGTGCATCGAAAGGGTTGAACGTTCGATCTCGATCCTCTCGATTCAGGACACTCGGAATGCAACTTGGTATCCTGACTAAATGTTAGAAATGCAACCCGGTACAAACGATGAATTATCAGCTCGTGGAATGGATAACGTAGTGAAGTAACGTGTATTTGTTCTGTATCTAAAGTTAAGATGGAAAGATCGATAGGAAATGCTGAACGTGTCCTGCCTCACCGAGAAGCTTGCGCTAAGTCTTTTACTTCCTCGCCGTTAGGAATGCTCGAAATAGTATTTCGATCGATTGCACTTTCAAATTAATTTCCGCGTTACGGTTCGATCGTCGAACGCAGATTGATTATTTACTAATGATTTAGTCTTAATTTAGTTGTGACGTATATCGAATATGGTCGCAATAAATGTGCACTGAGCTCGCCCTCCGAAACACAGCCTACTCCTACCGGAGCTGTCCGAACACTCGAGTACTTACTTGGACTGTGTTGAGTACTCGAGTGGATGGTTTGATAATCGAATCAGTTCGAGTACTTTCGAGTTTGTATACCTTGATTTCTTTATCGAATTTGGCGCTCGATCGTTAGAAGTCAATTGAGTACTAGAGTACCCGAGGATATTTTCAATTATTTCGACAGAATCAAGTACTCAAGATTTCGAAAATCTCAATTATTCAGGATAGAGGAAATACTCGAATAATTGAACACGTCAATTAATCTGTTCTGTACCAAGATTTCGAAAATCTTAATTGTTCCAGATCGAGAACTAAAAACTTGAATGTTACTCAATTATTCGGAAGAAACTGAGTTCTCGATTAATTGACTACATCAAGTATTCAAAAGATAATTTCAATTGTTACAATGAAATCGTATACTTAAACATTCGAACTGCACCGAGTACCAACATTTCGTACACTTCGATTGTTCGAATGCTTCTTAAAGCACAACTCAAGCTACCCAAATTTTCTATCTACTCAATCTACTCGAACAACCCCAGTACTCAGTTCAGTTCGACGAAACTTCCACTGACTCATCGTGATCCTCGACAGCTCCACGCAATTTCTATTAGTCTACAGCTACTTTACTCGTCTTTTACCGAAGTCGTCTAATCTCCCCGATACTTTCTACACCATTAGTGCATATTTATCGAAACCGCGTGAAACGCGTCGGGAATTCCCTCTAAGAAAGAAAACGTTAATATCGATTCAGTCGATTGCTTTTCGCTTCATTCGATGAAGCTGACGTTCAGCCACGACAGTGACTCGTTCGAGATGATTCGTGATTTCGGCTCACACGTTGACTGCCAAACGAATTTTTTGTTTGTTTTTTAACTACATCAAATTTTATATTATACGGAATACTTAATAGCAAAACATTAAGTTGGTGCAAAAGATTTATCGTATTTGTAAAATATAATCGAAAGTGAAGTTGTATAATTTCGATGTAACTTTGATCTTAATAGAATTAGACATTAGTGGATTGCTTACTCCCTTATATTGAAGAAGTTTTGAAATTAAAGGAAACGCAGAAAATGGAATTATGGAGGAATAAGTAAAACTTGGCATTCGTAGAATTCGTGGAGTCTGGAGGCACGTATGCCTTCTTTAGATTTTTTTTACGTTAAAATATAATACAAGAATTTGCAAGTCAAACTTGAATTAGTTTAACAAGGATTTCCAACTTGAACGAAATCTAAACCGAATTATGAATTTCAACATCGAATTTGATTAAATGAATGAAGAATGCTAGATTAAAAATATTTCCTTAAAATACAGCTTCATACGAAAATGACAAATCTTTTACACCGACCTGTTATATAAAATTGTTAAATTGAGCCGGTTGTCATAGCTTGTACATTTATTTTACGGAAAGTTTCGACTTATCTTGTAGTATTAACAGTATTGAAAAGTTTACAAATGTTGTCGTTTATCTGACATACGTATTTTAACCATGGAACGACAGAATCTCGGACAGATGGTCCAAAGATACATGTAATTGAATCCAAACTGACCCAACTGTGCCGTCGAAGAATTAATTAATTAATTTTGACATCGTCAGTCATCGAAAATACGCCAACTGGTAGATGAAATGCTGTAGATGACTCCTATTAGAGTTAACGTGTTGAATGACGGTCACCAGTGACCCCTATTAGAGTTAACGTGTTGAATGACGGTCACAGGTGACCCCCATAGCAGTCAACGTATTGATTGACGGTCACTAGTGACGCCCATTAGAGTCAACGTTTTGAATGACAGTTGAATGACGGTCAAATGCGAGTGATCCAGAGGAACCAGCGTTCCTTAGGCCGCTGTAGAAAAATCCATCGGCAACGTGACTCGTTCCGACATCTTTCGTGATTACGTAAGTACGTGTTGTTCCGTTCGAGTCGTTAAATGTTCGATAAGCATTCAGTCGCGATTGCGCTCGATAATTATAATGGCACGATTACAATGATCGTTGTGCGTTCGTTTCGTATCATTGCTTGTTCGATCGATGTTCAATGCTCGATGAAATGATTACGGATTCATGGTGGAACGATTGCAATTCGTTTTCGACCGCTCTGTTCTCTTAAAAAACACGATTTAAAATTGCACGATTCGAGTGGGTATAAAATGCTGGATCGTCCGAAAAGTTCGTAGGATTTCTTACGCTATCGTGTGACATTTGCGTGTTGATCTTTGTTAATTGCAAATCGATAATTGCGAATTGATTTTCGTGCAACTATCAGAAATGGTGGGTATTGAAATTTCTTTTTTTTTTTCGGTATTGTGTTACTTTATTGCACAGGACGTTTCTGTTTTTTTTACCATCACAGAAACTATGTGGCAAGATATTTATATTAATCCTTTAGTTGTCAGAGACGTACATATACCGGGTGTCACAGCTAACGTGACCACCCCAATCCTTTGTTATTAATAATGACACAAGGAAATAATGAAGGGACCATTTATAACGTTTATGCGGATTAATATTAAGGTTGACAAAACAATTAGATAAAAATTATATGTTTGTACATTTCAAGGTAATTGTTTTTCTTTTTTTTTAATGGAACTCTATATTTCTTATCACACCATGCTGTAATAAACCTGTAGATATATTTAATAAAGTATAACAATATGGTGTGACAGAAATACGCTTTGTGCTCGTTCACAATTTTCCCGTTATATTTCTTATAGAAAACAATTAAATTTTTTATCGTCTAATAATATTTAATTTCTTATTTGTCTACTAAAAAGACAATAAAGACACTGGCATATGAAACGCTACGAACTTTTCAAACGACCCAAAGCAACGTTTAAAAGTGTTCGTCTGAAAACGACCGCACGGAATCTTCGTTAAAAAACAATTTAAAGACGAACATTCGAAAAATCACCAGGCAAAAGCGTCATGAAGAATAATTGATTAGACACGTTTTACAGTTTGGCAGCATCGTGTTCGCCTAACTCGATTGAATTCATTGATTGATCGAAGACATTGCCATTGTAAAAATTATGACAATGCATAGTATCAAATACGTGTATACATCTCAAGTATATGTATATATATATATATGATTTAAGAATGTAAATATAGTATATACGTATATATATATACATATATATAATCGACAATCTGAAAGCCACGTATATCCGGTATACGCGAATTATAGTTCGTTCCTCCGCAATTGATTAAAACTTTCGATCGATTTTCATCGAATACCGGCCGAGTTTGATAAGTCACGACGTTACCTGGTACCCAAGAAATTTGATTAACCCTCTCTTAACCAATGTTGGGTCACTTCTGACCCATCCCTATATTTTTAACGTAACGATAATAAATAAGTTACAAAATACGTGATATATAATTCAATTGACGAATCAAACACATATGTTTTACAAACATATTCTGGTTTTCGTATATTTTAAATATACGATGACTTAGAGCTTCAAATGCTGGTTCTAAGGTATGTATAACAAAAATTTCGTCACGGGTGACTGCTGACCCGATATTCGTCTTCCGTGTAGTTTAAGGATCAATGCGATCCTCAAAGTCCTCTAAACCAGAAATTGTACAACAAATTTTGTAGATAAATACGTATTCACACAGTTATGTTTAGGAAAAAAGGGTGCATAAAATAGTTATACTTGCTTAATATTAAAAATGAACTTCCTATAATTTTAATGTAAAATATGGACACAATAATGTGATAAAATAAATCTACTAAGAGTTCACTGTCATTGTGCAACTCCCTCTAATGAATACTTTATGATCACCGCAATGATGGGTCAAAATGACCTCACACTCGTTACGCAAGGGTTAAACAAGATTTCTTTGCGACATTTTGAATGATCTGAATATTCGTTCGATTTTCACTATTCTTCTTTAACCCTGCCACGACCAACCGATCTTCTTCAACCCAGTAGCATTTCATGGTTTCCAACCCTTCTGTGGTCCTACGGTTTGTTCAATACTTCAGCTTCTTAAAATATTTCTCTAAGTTTAAGGAAAATACAAAAGATTCTTAACTAATGCATGTATCTTTTGTTCCAGAACATTGCATAAAATGTATAACGGAACGGAGGTTCGTAGCAGAGTTAAATCGACCGCTGAGAAGATAGATCCTTCGAAAATCGACTTCTACGATTTCTCAAGTCACGTGACGGAGGTTTAGACAAGGATATGATCGTGGAAACTTTGAAGAAAAGTAGAATCCCCTATCACACGGTATATAATGCTAGTAATTTACAAGCAACCGCGACCGATCAAACATCTGTTACGTCCCGTCGAGATCCCTCGCGACCCAAGCGGGTAATACGTAAACGCGCCACGCTGATCGATCCTTCCGACCGTTACAATCGACAACCCAATGATAAATGATTCGTTCTCGAAGCTCGCTAGCAAGATCCTACATGGTTCCCTAGCTTCCTGGACTATGCAAGAACTTAAACAGACGGGAAATAATGAATAAAACGATCACGATGAAAGTCACGAGCTTCGTCGAAGAATGCCTCGAATGAACGACGGAAAGTAACACGGCTTTCGTTTCGGCCGTGATCTCCATTTCATGGTTGAATGTTCCGTTCTTTTCTTCCTCGTTTCTCCCCGTATGGGTTTCATTTTGGAAAACAAGCTACCCTAACCTATGTATATACAATCATTACGTTCGTAGAAGAGACACGGCCTGACGCCGTGGCTCAGTCGACAGTTCTGACGCGCTTAGATGGCGCCACGGGATTAACAAAATGGCGCGACATTATTGGCCGTTCTTGATGTTGTTCGGTTGCTTCACGGAGTCCATGTTCGGTATGTAATCCATCGCCATCAGGCAGGCGAACACCGTCATCACCATCTTCGGTTTCACCTCGGTGATGTCCTCAGGCAGCGCGTAGACCCGCGCGCCGCATTTCCGGGCCAAGGATATCGCGTATTTCGCGTTGTCCAGGTTCGCCTGCAAAACGTACCGGCAGTCGACGATTAGTCACGCCGATTCGACACGGCTAACGTTGGAAACACGACAGTGACGACATACACGCACACCGATGGGAAACGTCTTCGCGGGAACTTCTAAGGCCGTACGCCTACTGGTTTTCGATTTGTTTATAGCGTTTGCTAATGTCATAGAGACTTTGACGTATTGCTTCGATGCAGTGGTTGATTAGACCGAGGGTCTATGCGACAAGAAGATTAATGGATCTTCTGTGTTCTTTTTGTCTTGAAAATATTGTAAGTTGAGAAATGAATGATCTTCGGAGAGTTTGGGATCCATGAGCTTCATTCCAGAGAGTTTTCAGAAATGGCGGTTTTGGATAGCAGGTTTTGGTGGATTGGTCCGGAGACATCAGCTTTGGAGGATTCGTCTAGAGGCATCAGATTTTTGGGAATTCGTCCGGAGACATCAGATTTTTGAGGATTCGTTTCGAGGTATTAGATTTTGGAGGACTCGTTCAGAAATATGAAATTGTCCAGGATTTGTGCGGAGACATCAGATTTTGATAAATTGATCCGGAAACTTAAGGATTTAGAATCTCAGAGACGAATAGTCTCTTCCAGAAATGTTCGAGCCAGAAGGGGGTTAATTTCAGTCTCGAAGCACTCAGGAGTGTAGGTTGCAGATATTAGGTCCCAAATAATTGATCCAGGAACTTCAAGATTTAGTGTGTTAAGAATGAAGCTCTCATTCCGAAAGTTTAGTAGCTAGTAGCTTTATCGTGAGAATGTTATTCGCTGGTATTAAATTTCGTAAGTGAACTGGTAAACTTTAGAATTTAGAATTCCATTAATAATCTATCTTCACACAGCAACATTTCTACTGATAAATTAGCTTATATGACTTGTTACGTATTCATAAAGATACAGATTTCTCCTGTGATTCATAAAAAACTTCTCCAAATAATAAACCTTCTGCTGTTATCTTTAGCTCAATAAAGCTTGTATTAAAGTCCCAACGAGACGTTTACGACGGTATCGATCAAAAACGAGTATCACAATGCCTCGATAATGGTTAAGGCTAACAATTCAATGATTGCAATCTGAAAACAACGAATCAACGAGCGCTAACTGCGGCCATGAACGTTACGACTTATTGAATGAAAACTTTGTGGAACTAGTACAGAGAATGGGAACACATCTGGACTAACCATTTCTGGATCCCCTTGGCTTTCGAATTCTTGAATCCTGCTACATTAATAGAAGGTGCCACAATATCTTCTTTATAATTGCAGTACACCTTTTTCATCAAGAATATCATTTAACAATGTACTGTTATTACTCATTATAACGGAAGAATAGAATTGCCTGTAGAACAATGGCAGGAAGGCATACATCATGATGAAGTGCACTTTACCAATTAAATTCCGTTTTCGTTACTCATATAACTTAATACATTAACGTTCTACAATACATAGAATCTCATTATTAGACTACAGATTCTATGCCTTCCCTCATACTCAGATCTCTAAGAGTCAGTACAGTAAAATGTTTAATAAAATAGATCAAGATTTCTATTTTACTTAGATATTTAAAGAATCGTTAATAGAGTAAAAACATTTCCATTCGACTCTAGTTTCTGAAAATTAATCCAGAAAAATCTACATTAGCATTATCCCCAGTCCAATCACTATACTAGTTCCAGTCTAAACGATAAATGGAAACGACCCCCGCCTCCACAAAACCCTCATCCATCTCACCTCCTCGGTGCCTCCTTCCTTGACAAGGTCATAGTTCACCGATCCCGGCTTGATCGCGTCGATCAGATCGATCACCACCTTCCCGTCCGATATCGACGAGTCCTGGAAGCCCTTCATGCTACTCGTCTTCCCCGCCCCGTGTAACTTCGAGTTCACCCATTGCACGATCTCCTTCTCGACCATAGTGCTACCTTGCGTGTCCGCGAGCGACGTGAGGATCGACAAAGTGTACGATCTCATCAGCTGCCAGATCAAGGCCAACGTCAGCGTCGCGTTCCCGTCGTTTAAATCCTGTCCGGCGATACCGACCAGCGAGAAGTTCATCGTCTTTCCAAGCTCGACCGCGTAATTGCAGTTCTCGAGCTTCTCCATGAACTTCCGTAGTTTGGTGAACTTCTTGTGCACGCGGTTCCAATTGACAGTGCCGGGTTTGATGATGTCGTACAGCTGGAAGATGACTAGGCCATCAGCCAGGTCTGAATAGAGCCAATTGACGTGAGGCACCACGCCCATCGAGTTCATCCAATTCCTATAAGTTTTCTCCTCCCTGGTCTCCTCTAGGGACTCTAGACCCTCGATGTTGCTCTCTGGCTTGTCCAGGCCTGGATAATTATTGAACATATTTGCGACGAACGCGAGATTCAGCTTGTAGATGCCGTTGACTACATCGCTGGGCGTCACGAAGCTGCGACAGCCCAACTTAGCCGCTTGCTGGAGCATGATCTCTGCGCGTGAAGTGTGGTTTGGCTCCATTAACGCCTCCAGTGTGACGCCAGAGGTGTGCGGGGCGATTTGCTTGATCAGGTAGGTGTAGATCTCCGAGTCGGTGATGTCTGATTGGAAGTTGTTGCACCGTCTTGCGATGCCAGCGTTCTCGAGATGATGGTTCACCCATCTGAGTAGGATTGACTCTGGGGATAGTTTGAGCAGGTCCTCGATACGCTCGCCGTCTTGGAGGAGTGTGGCCAGGCCTGGACAGTTCTCCAAGGTGATTTGATTGAAGAGACCGATCCTGATGATCTGCCAGAGAAGACCCAACACCAGGTGGGGGGATCCTTTGATGAGATCGTGGGCGTCGATGTTTACTATGTTGCAACCGATCGCCTGGGCGGAGGACAGGGCCAGTGTCAGGTTCTCGTGTTTCTTGTAGAGGGTCAGGTTCTTCTTGTTGATCGTTCTCTCGTCGATCGTGTCCGGGCAGGAGTGATTGATTATTTTACTAGAAGAAGACGTCGAGGGTATTATAATAGTTAATTTTATTTGGGAATATAATGCCCATATACCACCGTGAATACTCTACTTCTCAGAACTATTAGCCCTTTCATTGAAGAAAGTTTTTCACGTAAATTTTACTTTGGGAATTTATGGCCAATCTTGTGAGAAAAACTAGTTTTTTCTTAACAAATCGGGCACATGTTCCAGTAAAATGAATCTAATGTTGGCCATGTACTTATGAGCGTTAATGCAGATCCCAGAAAAATTCTAAAAATCATACAAAAAAGTCTGTCTTTACGTACCAGAGGAGGATTCCATCCTTGACCTTCTCGTACAGACTCTTCCCTTCTGGGTCGATGGGCAGCAGATGTTTCAGGTCAGGATCATGCGACAAATTCGTGTTGATCCAATCGCTGAAAGCGAGCTGTTCCTCCAGTCTGACTGAATGTGTGGTACCCTCGCTGGACGCCTCGGAAATACCGCCCAAGGTCTCGAGGTTCTCCTTCTTCGACACGACCTGCTTGAACGTCGAACCCAGCTCGTTCGCTTTCAGCTCCTTGCACAGCTTCTCGAACTCCTCGAACGACAGTCTGCCTTTGTGCTCCGACCGTTGCTTGTCGTCGTACTCCTCGATCATCTGGCGCACCTTGTACCCGGGCATCTTGAACCCGCAGATGTCCAGGGCGCTACGCAGCTCCGTGAGGTTGATGAAACCGTCCCCATTCTCGTCGATCTAACAGAAAGAAGCTTTCTTCAGACTTGGTCTTCGTTCTTCGGAAATTGGAGAGGATGAATCTTGTGTTGGAAGCTTGGGATCCAGGAGCTGATCTTGGATTGCGAGGTCTTGTGTGTATCCTTGGATATCGGGATTTGCAAGCTTAGTTCGGAAACAGAAGATCTTGGGGGACTGATCTGGAGACCACGGATTTTGACGAATTCGATATTTGGTATTGGATTCCGGAATGCAGGGTTTCATATGTGTAGTTCTTGGGCTTCAGGATTTGCTGGGTCGATTTGGAAACCGCTGGAGTTAGGTCTTAGAGACGATTCTTCTGTTCTGGGAGAATGGAATCCTGGATCTTGAGTTCGGAATGAAAGGTCTCGTTAATGTAGTTCTTAGATATCAGGATTTGGTGGCTCGATTTGGAGGCTTCAGTGGTTAGGTCTTAGAGACGAATCTTCTGTTCTGGGAGTGTGGAATCCTGGATCTTGAGTTCGGAATGAAGGTGAGTGTAGTTCTTAGATATCAGGATTTGAAGGCAACATATTTTGAGAAACTGATTTGGAGAACTCAGTATTCAGCTTTTTAAGGATGAATCTTCTGCTCTTGGAGTCTGGAGTCTATAAGCTTGATTCGAAAGTGCGAAAGGTCAGGAATTTCATTCGTAGAAAATTCATTCAGAGCCTTTGGTGTTCAGTGTTTTATGGGTGACTCTTCTGTTCCAGGAGTTTAGAGTCAGTAAGCTTGATTCCAGAATGCAAGATCTCAGAAATTTAATTTGTAGATGGAGACATTAGAAGATTTATTCAGAGACATCGGTATTTAGTATCTTAGAGATGAATCTTCTGTAGTTGGAGTTTAGGATACATTGCTTAATTCTAATATCGAAGCAGTTAGGAATATAATTTGTGGATATCATTATTTTTTTAATCTTTTAGGTTCATATATGTTGTTCCATATTGCATTCAATCAATATACTAACAACGACAGCAATAATAATATTTAATGAATAAAAGTTCTCAAAATTCAGGATTTTCAGGATATTCTAAACTAAAAGAATATACACTGAAGTCGTAGTTTCAGGGTCAAATATTTCTAATCCAAATTTGCAGGATCTTTAGAACCATCTGGATCGATTTATAAATCATATCTTGTTTCATAAATCAAAACATTACTTTCATTCCAGATTCTAAAAGCTCCAAATTTCTACAATCGTTAAATTCACAAAGTAAAATATTGAATCCATATTTCAAGGCAGCCTCGAAAAATTCCAACTATTGCAGGAAATTACCACCGAAGGCACCGCGTAAATGTAAATTATCTGCTTTATGAATATGCACACGAATTTCTGAACGTTCGAGACCCCGAATATCGCGTGCAATCGTAAAAATTTCGTTCCTCACGCTACGAGCGAGCTCCAAAGTACTTGGAAAAATGATATCCAAAGGAATTACACGTCCATGTGTAGGTCTCTGTCTGTATACGACGTGACAGCTAAAGAGTTAAAAACGTAACGTGAATTGCAGTATTTATTTATTTCCTACACATTATAATATCACGGATGTACTGTCAGTTTTGTGTATTTCCCAGTTCCTATTTCCAGTCCCTACTTTCCAATAACTATTTACCAATAGCCATTTTCCAATTACTACTTCCTAGTACCCATTTTCCCGTACCTATTTTCCAGTACCCATTTTTCTATATCTATTTTCCAAGGCCTATTTTCCAGGATCTATTTTCCAATAGCTATTTTCCAATACCTACTTCCTAGTACCCATTTTCCAATACCTACTTCCTAGTACCCATTTTCCAGTACCTATTTTCCAGTGCCCATTTTTCAGTATCTGTTTTCCAGGACCTATTTTCCAATAGCTATTTTTGAATACCTACATCCTAGTACCTATTTTCCAGTACCAATTTTCACATACTTATTTCCCAGTACCTATTTTCCAACACAACATGAATAATCTAACGTGATCCGTGACGAACAGTTTCCAAATAAACCTGCAATATCGAACTTGTCAAATCCTAGGGTAAAACTCTTATGTACCTCTTATTCGATTAAATTTAATTAAAACGACCTCTCCTGGAATTAGCTGCATCTGCACTCGCACAATTGCAAGCGATATCACACGTGCGAACAACGGGGAACATTATCTCGCGAGCGGGTCTCTACGAGCGAACGATATCTAGGCTGTTTGCGGAATAAAATTCGTACGGGCTGGAAATAATGCAGCCACGATCGCCCGTGATTTCCTCGGGAAACAATGCAATAAGTCCCCGAGACCCGTCGTCTAAGTCATACACGGTACTTTCTTGGAAAACCGCATCGGGGTTAATCGACATGTTGTTCTTTTATCCTCGTTCCCGAGAAACCATGTCGCGGTCGACTAATTAGCATCCCAGTTCTTGCCAGTGAACCGTTCCGCCGCGTAATTACCGATGATAATTGTTTCCGTGTTATCGTCACGAAACCGCTTCGTCTTCTTCTTCTTCTTCCCGGTATGACGCGACGCGTGTCGCTTCGGCAAACACAGATTCGTAATCTGACAACGGAACTCGGGATCCGAGAATAGTAATCGATCGACGTGACTCACTATCGTTCGATTACGTTGTTATTAAAATATTCCTTTTATGGGACGAAACGGTCAGTACGATTACAGTGTGACAATAAAAGAAATCATCGACGTGCATGCTCTCAATGTTGATACATTTTTCGCAGGATGACGATTAGACTGCAGATATTGATGCATTTACAGCGTAAGGGATTATCTAGAATTTAACCCTTTCGGACCAAAATTATTTTTTTTTACTTTCGAACGGGAAAAAATATTTTTTTACATATAGTCATTTCTTAGATGTCGGAAAAATAGAGAATTTACTAAAAGAAATAAACAGAAATAATTGTTTATAAACGAAAAAGAATCGTCATTAAACAGTTCTTAAATATTATTTTTGAGAATGTATCATAATGTGTTATAAATGCTAATTAAATGAATCACTCCAAATCGAATCCTACGATCGGAAAGGGTTAATATACAGAGTGTCATGTAACTGGTTGCATAATCAGTTGATGGGTTCTTCTACATGAAAAAATAAATCGAAAACATAAAATAACCTTTTTTTATTTGAGACTCCATTTTCGAGAAAAACGACCTTGAAGATCTGCTGGATACGCGTGCAATTCGATGGACTTAGTCTAGCGTGTCTGTTCATTGCATTCCGATTCTACTTATTACCATGAATACACGCGTTTCAGATTAATTTTCAAGACGATTTGCTAGAAAACAAAGTTTCAAATGAATATTTTTCCATTAGAATCAAGCCCTACTCGGTTGTACCATCAGTTACATGACACACCGTATAATAATTAATAATTTTATTTTATTCCGATCTTGATGGAATAGTGAATATAGGAAAGAAATTTCAGTTCTTTCTCAATTTCTGTAAATTATCACGTAACAGTTTTGAAGTTTACGAAACATGTTAACTCTCAATTAATCATATCCACTGCATCGCACATGATGTAGATACTGTTACATGATCATCAATTTACGGAACTTGAATTATTTATATCGCTGAAATCTATATCTATATCTAACGTATTACAGGTAGTAACAGTATTCTGAACTCATCAAGCAAAAATAAGATTTCTGCGAGACCATAACGTTCCTCACAAAACCCGTAAAATATTGGAATGCAGAATGTAAAAAATTTATTTCTTACATCAGTTTTGTCGAATCTTAATTGCCTTAAAACGTCCGGTCATTTTTATACACTTTATAGTGATATCTTCCATACATTTAGTGTATAAGAATAAAATAACACGAAATTATGGAACTGAGCTGCGTTATCATACTGCTCACATTTACTTTGTTGAATGTCACCAGTTCACGTTGCAATATTAATAATATCTAAAAGTCCGCAAACATTACCGTTCACTCCATATAAGCGTTTGAATTAACTTTCACGTCGGCGGTCATCGTTGACCCAAAGATTGCAATGGCAAATTGAGTGCGGGTCACCGATGAGCCCCACAATAATTAATGTTTCGTCATCACAAACTGAGTTTAAAATATTTATACAATCAAACGAAAAATGTGGCCCGAAATACATCCAGCCAACACTTAGAACTAGCTCTGTACGGATTAAAAATCGAATCCACTAATTTTTTTCGGTTCACGTAAAGAGTCATAGTCTCCACGAAGGAAGAATCTATCCTCCGAAATTGAGTTGCGCTTAGTGATCGGTAATCAAACTGTTCAAACATGTTTGATCTTCTGGTGTGATGTTCAAATATGTTCTTCGACTCCTGACGTGATACTCAAACATGTTTGAACTCCTAACATAATGTTCAAACATATTTGAATCCTTGACATAAGGTTCAAACGTATTTGAATCCTTGACGTAAAGTTCAAACATATTTGAATTCTTGACATGAGGTTCAAACGTACTAGAATTCCTGATGTGATGTCCAAACATGTTTTTGAACTCCTGACGTGACACTCAAACATGTTATTGAACTCCTGACATAGTGTTCAAACATATTTGAATCCTTGGCGTAAGGTTCAAACGTATTTGAATTCTTGATCTGATGTCCAAACATGTTTTTCAGTACCTAAGATAATATTCAAACAAACTTCTAATGCAATATTATACAAGTTTGAACTCCTAACATGATATTCAAACAGTCCAAACAGAGTTCCACTCGTAGCAATTCATTCAAAACGTTTGATCGGCATTCAGTCGTCTCATCACGACCGAATTTTGCTTGCACCATTCAAACATCTTATATTCAAAAATGTCCAAACATGTTTGGACTTTATGTTCACGGACCCGTTACTGGTTACGCTTTTCACGCCCAGCGGTCAATCGATTCCGCAGTCTGCGAGTCAAGTGGTTTACGTAAAAGGCGTGACGGGGAGATACCCGCAGGCCGTTAGTCCGTCGTCGACGGGAATTGGGAGGAGTTGCACACTTACTAGGCGGAAAAAGTGCGTGAAATCCTTCAG